TTCATGATTGTGACTTCCTGATATATGAACTTGTATCTTTATTTGTATCTTCCCAGAACTTTTAATCATTGATCATTCTATTAAAGACTCGTAGAAAATGATTATTAAAGTTCTTAGAAGATATAAACTTTATATAATTATACAAATAAATCGTATTGACACACTGTGCTTTAATGATGGGCAAGTGTTTGAAGTAGCATATCAAGGTAGATTGTCATTATAGATCTATTCTGCTCTTCGTCTGTATATTTTCAGTTATATAACATTACCATGATCATTGTCACCGTCATTCTTGTTACAGCAAAATCATACTATCACCACCACCACCACCACCACCATCATCATCATCATCATCATCATCGTCGTCGTCGTCATCACCACCACCACCATCATCATCATCATCATCACCACCACAACCATCATCATCACCACCACCACTACCACCACCATCATCATCATCACCACCACCACCACCACCACCATCATCACCACCACCATCATCATCATCATCGTCATCGTCATCATCATCCCCACAACCACCACCACCACCACCACCATTATCATCATCATCATCATCGTCGTCGTCGTCATCATCACCACCACCACAACCATCATCATCACCACCACCACTACCACCACCATCATCATCATCACCACCACCACCACCACCACCATCATCACCACCACCATCATCATCATCATCGTCATCGTCATCATCATCCCCACAACCACCACCACCACCACCATCATCATCATCACCACCACCACCACCACCACCACCACCACCATCATCACCACCACAATCATCATCATCATCGTCATCGTCATCATCATCCCCACAACCACCACCACCACCACCACCACCACCATCATCATCATCATCGTCATCATCATCATCATCATCCTTATCATCATTATGATAAATGTTGTTCCTTAGGGCCAAACAAAGTGATGGAAATCTTCGGAGAAATAAGATTAGCAAAATAGTCGGAAGGGGGGGGGGGTGGGAGCTTTACACAGGGTTTTTTATATACAAGGTAAGGGCAGCTTTGCGAGGAATGTTTCATTAATGGGCAGATCGCTTGAATCATGGATGTATTAATAGATTGACTGCTAATTTGACGGAACGGTCTAATTGGTTAATCAATATTTTTGTTTCAAAGAGACTAATGTTTAGCCTATCCCGCATGTATGTTGCTGACATTTATTGCATTTAACCACTGTATCAAACCTCATTCCAGTATTACTCTGTACACTGTAGCATGTGATCAATGGTTCATAATCTTTAAAAAAGAAAAAAAATCATTGCCATCATAAGCGCCAGGGGGTTGCTATAAAAATGCTCGATATTGTTATTACTAGCATTATCCATTTATCGTTAACGATATTTTCTTAGTGTATAAAGTTGTGAAATACAAACAAATCCTGTGCTGGTCCAGTAGCTTCGTTTTCTTAGCTTATTTTGTGAAATATAAATCCTTTAGACCGTTTACCCAAGGTTGACGGAGAAAAGTAATAGAATAGAAGGTAATTACAGTACAAAATGATCCAGCGAGATAAAGAAGAAAGGAAGTATGAAGAGGGATGGGAAGAGAGAAGGTGGGTCTTAATGACAAAAAAAGGATAAAACTTCAAGAGAATAATCAAAGGTAAAGACCAGTATTGGAAACGCCCCAATTTCAAAAAATGAAATGGAAGCTCTTATTACCAATCATGTGAAAGAATATGTTTTGACTAATACATGATGATAAAAAATTTGCCGGGAAACCGCCTACTTATTCATATATTTGGTAAATTTGTTTCTCTCATGGACTGTGAGAGATATAGGGTAACACCCCCTGATTTATTTTGGTTTAATTTCTCTCCACCCTCCACCCAAGTACATCCTTCCGCTCTCGGGTATTTTTTTCTACAACTATACATTCAAATTATTCTTGTTTTGCATTCAAGCTTGATATATAGTTAGTATGTTGTTTGAGATAACAGAGAGGGAGTTGTACGTTCTAGTCGTATCAAACTATTATTGTGAATGTTTATTGATCCACGTATCTTTTATTTAGGCTATATTTAAAGCATGACAGCATTTAGACTGATAAGTGATTGACATGTATAGTAACAATATGTCAATCACACAAGAACATCTCTCCACATTTTTACTATCATTTCATTAATATTCTTTGCCTCTTTTTCACAAGCTTTTTTGCATCATGACCTACCGGTATGTGTATTTTACTTTTAGTTCGTTCTCTCGGAAATTATTTGTTCTTCCTAAATTTCATAACTAAGTTTTCAATTAAAGAATGCTTTTTTTTTTTTTATAGATGTTTCTATATTTCCATTTGTGGCCTTCCTTTCACTTCCTCTTATTCAACTGTTAAAGGTAAAGACCAGTTATGGTCATGCGATTGCATTGTGAAAGAAACGTTGTGGAATCGATCAGAAAAGGTTGATCATCTAGCATCTAGCATCTGCAAGGTTCTGGAATCATCAAAATGATAAGAAATTTGGCCCATTCTTCGTAAAGTTACAAGCACTATACACAGAAAGATGTATATGGGACTACCCTATATCTCTCACAGACCATGAGAGAAACAAATTTACCAAATATATGAATTACTAGGCGGTTTCCTGGCAAATTTTTTATCATCATGTATTAGTCAAAACATATTCTTTCACGTGATTGGTAATGAGAGCTTCCATTTCATTTTTTGAAATTGGGGCGTTTCCAATACTGGTCTTTACCTTTAAGGAAATAAGACCCGGTAATGAATAGAGAGAGACCACATGGTAATGATATTACCTACATGATGTGCAATACGATGTTAATAAAATAAAATCAAATGAATGAATTAGAAGAGGAGTTAAGTATTCCAATCAAACTTAGAAATCATGACTAGACGGATGAAGGATATGCGGTCAGATCATTGAATGAATGACTGAAACAGACATTGCAGAACAACTTTAATTGGCTTGGTGTCAAAATGAGCAAAGTACCCATTGTGGTAGACCGGTTGGGGTGCATTCAATAACAAGGTATAGTGTTCAAGCCCCCATCATTCATCACTCCCCTTAGGGAATGGTGAATCAGTGCATAAGGCAGACCAGTAACAATATATTTGAAAGCATGATTTGAAAGAAATATAAAGAATGATATATTATAATGGCAGAATGTATTATTATTATACAATGGAGATGTTATGGATGGATGGATGAAGAACAGCATGAATATGGCTCATTAATTTTGATTGTATTAGTCTTTGTATGAATTCACCAAAATGAAAGGAACATTTCTAAACTGTCCAGATATTTCCTGATAAGGTGGAACACAAACACCGACAATATCTAAACTCAGTTCCTTTTAAACTTGATCTAGGTATTATCAGCAGGGCTGTATAGATAATAGCTTCAAGGAAGATCTACATAATAATACTATATTTGTTTTTTTAAATCAAAAAATGAAATAGTGCTGGAAAGGACATGAACAGAATATAAACATAGACCACGTCAAACAAAATAAAGATACTCCAAAACAAACAATTTGTGTAAACCTGCTAATATAAAACAGTTTTATTTGGCATAACTTTCAATAATATATATAGAATGGCAGCATCTGTATAAAAATCATTAAGAAATCTGTTAAGATATTACACAATGTAAGAAGATACTGGCATTACTGTGTTATACTATTATTGCGATTCATGATCACTGATATCAATGCTTTAACATCCTGCATATAACATGTTGAGATTGTACTGTTTAGTGTAGATCTTTGGTTGTCATTCTTAGATTAAATCCAAATCATAGTCATTTTTTATCAAGGCTAGAATGAAGAAAATTTGAATTCCCTAGACATTTATTGAATAAAGGAGACAGCAAAAATCTCTGAGCTACCTTTAAACAAAATGTTTTCATAACATAGAAGTGATTAAAATACAACAGAGAACTGGTATTTTGAGACAGATGTTTTTTCAACATGGTGTTTAACCACATTATTCCATAGTGAATTAAATGTACATCTCTTGAATTGGGTCATACTTGCAGGCAAAGAAGCTACTGAAAAACCAGTTTCAAAATGTGTGACACAAAAGAATTTCCTGCAGGACCTTTGTTATACATTGGCTTCTGTATTTGGCAATACATGAAGAGCAGGTAGAAAACATGGAATCAAACAAGCTACTTGAAGTAATGTTCAATTTTCTTCTTCAAAATATTGATGGACTAAGTAATTGTTTTCATAGTTGTCACGAGTTTGTTGATAACATCTCATCTGATTTTGTGTCAATCAATTAAAACTATTGTAAGTGATATTTGATACAGAGATTCTCTGACATTCTGGATGTTTCTTGTCAAGGGTCATACATTTCACTTATTTTCCTATTAAATCTGTCCTTATCTTATGTAAACCTCTGGGAAGGTACATCACAATTAAGAACAATCTAGGAAAAGGAGTATTCCTGAATTTTGATAACATGTTTGGGGTCATCATCCCTGGCTACAAAATATATCTGTAAGGAGAAATACAAGGAAAAGGAGGTAGGTATTTAGATTAAATCAGTATGTCACATATCTGAGTGTTTAAAAACAACAACGGAAACATGGTGTAAAACAACCATGTAATAAGCACAAATATGAGCACTGCTAGATTACATGATGTTATGGTAAACTTAAATACTACAGGATTTACTAACAGATGGAAATCCACACACTCTTCTTATGCATGTGTGTCTCATCTTACTAGTATAGTATGTAGGTATTGTAATGTCTTGATACAACTCCAATATTGAACTGTTTATTGAGAATGGATAAACAGCCTAGTACACAAAACTGATGATAAATAGAATATATAGAAAACACTTCACACACAGAAATTTCCAACTGGAATCCAGTTTTAGAAGAAATTACAATATCATTAGCTACAAAAGACTACCAGTTACTATTTTAAAATTCCTTATTTAATATTAAGTATTTAGTGTCACCTATGCCTGTGGGGGGGGGGGGGGGGGGGGGGGGGGGAAGCGAACTGAATCACTATGAATCTCGGCTCTCTCCTCCCGATATAACTGATTGGGGTTTGTGCAGGTGGACCACTACACCAGGGTTTCCCCCTACTCTTATACAAATAGTGCAGTGGGTTCTTACTGTTCAAAGGTGGTGGCTCTCCTGTGGAAAGGACAGAGTGTTTTCCACTGTAACATGACCTGTGTTTATGAGACACTGGAGGGGCATGTTAACACACAATGCTTTAAATAAGCCTTTGTAATGGTTATATGTATAGTTAACTTGTAAAAGCTTGGTATTGTCTGCTTCCCAGTTGGATCAAAGCAAGGCCTGATCAGCTGCGAATCATAGTGACATCACACCAGACATTAGACTGTCCATAATTTGGCCAATTGTCTGAATGAAAGGTCTAGACTACCTCACAACTCCAATTTAACTATTCGTATAGCCACAAGGAACCTCAATCTGAAATAATCTAAATATTTAGAATTTCATACCTAACGATACTCATTTTTTTTTTCTAATATCAAGACTGACTAACACAACACATTACAACACAAACATGTATCACACAGCATAGTATAGTTGAAGAGCATAGTAGTACACACAACACACAAAATAGCAAAATATGATTTAAGTGAACACAAGCAATACATGATGGGCCCCGTCTTATAAAGAGTTGTGATTGATCTTTTGATCAATCACAAATGCTCCAATCAATCGCAAGTTTGCAGTCTATTATATCTTATGTACATAGTTGTGATTGACATCAATAGCAAATGAATTGCAATTTACATCACCTCTTTATAAGATGGGGCCCTGGTCATATTTCAAGATAGACTATGTTAAATACAGTAGGATCTGTTTATAAACAAGAATAAAAACCTAAATGTTGAGAGCAGTTAAAAGGATTTTCATATCAGATTTACAGAATGATGTGTATCTGTGAAAAGTTCACATAAACTCAGAAAAAACATTTCTATAATGATATTGGCTTGCTTCTATAAAATCCTTGATATTGGATTAAATAAATAAATAAATAGCTGGACGGACGGCTAAACATTTTATGTACTAAATTCTGGTGATGAGCTCCTGCTACGCGATGACTTGTAGCTATGATGAGAGCTTGTAATAGAAGGTGCTCTATCTCTTATGAACCCACTAGTAGGATGGCTTGGTTTAGGCTGGTTGTATGTAGCACTTAGGTGTGGTGTAGGTAGGTGTAGAGACACATGGCCTCCTCTGTCATCAAACAAAACAATGATAGTAATAGATGTAATAATATATATAAGATATGTGAGGAGCCAAATCCACTTGGAATCAAATGCTCAAGGCGCTCTTGTGAGAGAAAAAAAATCACATAAAAGCATCTGCATTACAACAGATACATTTTAAGAAGGCCCTGCATGAGTAAAGGTTCTTTCCCCCTCCTTAGTAGTGAGCTTAGGAAGAACAAGAAATCCATAGTTTTGAGATATCTAAACGGAATGTAATGATTTTAATATTAAAGTAACATTCTAATGGGGAGCAGAGCCATGGACACAATGAAATAAAACAAAACAATGATACATGCATATCAATCAGTATCATTCACATCGGCATATAAAGTTGAAATGATAACACAAAGTAATCAAATGAGTGTGACCTATATTGATTTGTTGAAAAGTAGAATAAATTTACACCTCACACAACTTTGTGAATCACTCGAGGTGATCCAGTTTAAACAAAAAGAAAAAAGGAAGCCATATAAAAATAGAGGCCATCAAGTTTACAAGTAGGAATAGAACTTTCTTTGTCTTTATTTTGACAAGACAAATGATATGACTACTACTGCTACTAGTGCACATATCCACCACCTAAGATGCTATTGATTTCTGCGCTCACAGCATTCAAGGAATTCCTTCCTACTGGTACCCATTTAACACCTGGTTGGAGAGTGGAAAATGTAAATTAATGTCTGGACAAAGGACATTAGTGCCATGGCAAGACTCAAATCGCAAACCACATGATCCACAGTCCGATTACATATCAATTAGACCACAACACCTGTAGCAGAATGATAAAACATCATCTCCTTTCAAAAAATTTCAATTCTAGTCATAACATCGGAAAGGATTCACCAAGATTTCTCTGTGAAGTGTTTTATATCTCACCTGTCTGATCTAGTCAGTTCTGTTCTGATCTTGTCAAGCTGAGCTTGGAGCTGCTTCTTATCATGGGCTAGTCTTCTCTCTCTCGCTGATCTATCAGTTAACTGGGTAATACATGTAAGAGAAAATATACTCAATCATCAATATTCAAAGCATAACCATAGCTGATCTGTTATTCGAGTACAAGTCTGAGAGAGGGAATATAATAAATGATTAACATTCAAAGCTCAAACTTACTTGGTCTGTACATTATCTGTGGATGACAATGGAAATTTCTGAAAGAGCTCCTTTCCTATGAATTCTCCCTAAAATTTGTTTTACTGTATTTCTTTTGTAAATTACTCCTGTCAACATTTCAAAGCTAGTTACCGTTTGTTCCAGTATCATGTATCAAATCAATTTAACTACATGAAGATGAGAAATTCATATTCATCTTCACACAGTTTCCGAGATGTTTGGTGGTGAATGTTCAGTCTTTTGTATAGGACTTACAGTTGTATGTCCCCTGGTTGTTTACCTACAATAAAATATTTCTAGCACTCCATTCAGATGAAGCACCTAAAGAGATGTTACAACCATTTACCTTTCTAGTGACCTCAGTAGCTTGATGTTCAGCTAATTCAACTTTCTGACGTAGCTTCCTATTCACATCCCTCTGGTCAGATAGAAGCTGCTCATTCTATTAACAGAAAAGTGGAATTAAAATACACAAAATAACAATGTATAACTATAATTGAAATTTCATATTGCGTGAATTAATGGTTCTGGTTGTGTATTGTGAATTATATGACTTAAGCTTTGAGTTGCTGTTTTTGTTTGAGTTGCCGTACAGTTCCTACAGGTGCTGGGACATTTTTCACCAGCCGTACGGACGGTGTGGTGATGAGTTAGGTGCTCCCAATACTCCCGGCGTTTTCGTCTAATCGTCAACATGCGGATATACTTTCTGATACTATTTTTGTCATTGTTACCCGAAAAACTCATGTTTTTATGAATTAAATTTAATTACTTAGTCTGAATTATGAATCAAATTTTAGTTTGCATGTTGAACTATCGCATTTTGTGTTTTTTGGGGGTGTCTTTATGTGTTACCTATGTTCAAGTCAAATGTACTATTCTGTATCTTATTGATGTTTATAATCTGTAATCTTGTACTGACATGCAAACGGAACAAATTTCCAATCATTGGACAATAAATTTTGAATTTGAATTTGAAAGCCAGTAAAGGGGGCATCGAAGGGCCCCTCACAATTTTTTTCTGTCAATTCTCATGAAAAATCTTTACGGGCACCTTGCGGTGCTCAAGAGTGCCATACGGGCATCCTACAGGCATCCTAAGGGCCCCAGGTAATATGCACAACACCGGGCGTCTGCCGTCCGGGGGCCATTTGATATGAATATTGCCTGTGCGGGCCCCTCAAGGCGGCATCACCCGTTTGGTATAAATACAGTTACATATTGCCCTCAAACTCTCTCTTTCTCTGGTGTGCTGAAGCCGGCTTTTAATGATCACTACCGCACAAGTCAACCGTTTGTGACAGGATGGCACTCATTCCTGTGCAACGTCCGAGGCCACAATTTGTCCCCCCCCCAGAACGCCTTCATCGTGCATGTATTGCTGGATTGCAGATGCAGTTGGACATGCTTTACCTCCGTGAGCAGTATGTAGTTGCTGCACACCTTGCAGACGAATTGGAGGAGGCCCGTCACAGAATGCACAACTATACTAATTTTTTCTCTGGACTATGACTCCCAACCTTGAACATTCTATTCTAGAAATTTCCTTTTCTCTCTCCTTATTCTTCTCCTGACCCCCATTCTTTACCTTTTATTCCTATTTCTCTTCTTTCTTACATCCATCATCCATATCATTTCATTGTTTTTGTCTGTATACTCTGCTTTTTTTGGTATTATACTTCTACCTTATTATGAATGACACTGTGTCAAAATTATTTTGAGGAACTTAAATTCTACAAGCTATATGCTTTTTTATCCTTTTTTTTTAATCGTAATTTCGAAATTATTTAGTGTAAATACCATACAAACTTGTGCCATGCAGATGTCTTTATTGTTCACGAATATCAATTTTGTAAATATGCTACGTTTTGTTAATGTATTGTATTTTTTTTTCATGTGAAATAAAAGAAACTACAGAACGTTTTGGGAGAAACCTTGGTTGCAACGACATGTTCTGCGAGATGCTGGCCCGGGTGGCCCCAAGAATAACTAAGAGCATGGATAGAAGTCCCCCTATCCATGCTGGACTCAAGCTTGCAGTGAACCTCCGCTTTCTGGCCACTGGGAACTCATAGAAAAGTCTATCATACGAGTTCCGCGTGGCACACAACACCATCTCCCTGTTCGTGCAAGAAGGGTGCAACACAACAGTAGAGGAGTACAGACTGGAGCAGTTCCCAACACCATCAGATGCCGACAGGTGGAAACAAGTGGCAGTCAAGTTCGGGAATTGATGGAACTTTCCAAACTGCTGTGGCTGTTTAGATGGGAAGCAAGTTGCCATCCGGAAACCAGACCATGCTGGAAATCTCTATTACAACTGGTGTTATACTGGTCCCAATTTTCAACTGGCATTTATATTGGTCCAACTTTCTAACTTCAAATTAAGTTGGTTAGTTGGTATGTTCTGTTCTTTGAGTTGATGAATATGATTGGTTAGATCCTCATATCTGTATGTTCTGTTCTTTGAGTTGATGAATTTGATTGGTTAGATCCTCATATCTGTATGTTCTGTTCTTTGAGTTGATGAATTTGATTGGTTAGATCCTCATATCTGTATGTTCTGTTCTTTGAGTTGATGAATTTAATTGGTTAGGTCATCATACCTGTAAGTTCTGTTCTTTGAGTTGATGAATATGATTGGTTAGATCCTCATATCTGTATGTTCTGTTCTTTGAGTTGATGAATTTAATTGGTTAGTTCATCATACCTGTATGTTCTGTTCTTTGAGTTGCTGTTTTTGATTGATTAGTTCATCGTTTTGGGATATAATTATGTTGATTATCTTCATGCCCATGAAGTTTTAGAGATTCCATCTCTTGCAGATGGACAACAACAATTGCTCACAAATTTTGTTTAATCACTCTTGCAATCCAGACACTCGTTCCATGCTTCCCCCAGGTAGGGATTCCTTACCAATTTTCGCCAGTTGAGAAACAGTGACCCTCTTTACCAACCAGCTTGCCGTACTTCAAGATACCAAAATTTATTTATACCACAGGCAGAGAAGGAAATCAACACTATGAAACTTGTGTAAATCTATCCCCTTCTAATTTCCTATCCTGTGTTTTCCCCTCTTTTTCATGGATTCCTCTCTTTTCCTCCTTGTACTATTTCTATTCTTCTGTGGTAGATTGCACATGTTTCTTTTTGCTTCATGTACATGTATTTCCGTATAATTGCAATGTCTACAATGTTTGGATACTTTTACAAATTCTACAGATTGCATTGATATTTCCCTCCCTAACTCTCTTCCCATCTCATTCCTTTTCTCTCTCTCCCTTTCTCAGTTCCTCTCTCTCTCTCTCTCTCTCTCTCCCTGTTTTACTTTCTTCTCTTTCTATGCTCTAGCTCAGCGCTTACAACCTGGTATGGCTCAAAGAAAGGAGAGAGGATCTTTGTTGGGACTTTGCCACTTAGCTTTACAAGAACTTTGGCCATTGGCTACCGGAAAGCCAATCATCAAACAGACAATTAAGACATAGTAACAGGTTACGAGAACTGAAGTGTCGGACACAACGTTACAAAAAAGCGCAATGCAACAAATTTTTAAACTGTTGACCTCTAATGCTGAAAATCTGAACATAGAGTTTTAGAACACACAAAATAGTGAATTGAAGATTAATGTTGCCTGTAAATGTGGAAATGTATTTTTTTACCTCAAAATTATTTTTTTATGAATCAATTCCTTTGAAGTGCATTCCCGCTAACTTGGATGAAATAACTTTTTTCAATTACATTTTTAATTTGTGTTATATTATACCAGCTCTGTGTTTGTGTTCCTCTCTCTCTTTCTCCCTCTATCTCATCCTCCTCTCTCTCTTTGTCCTTTCTCCTCATGGGAATTCCATTCACTGTATAATACCTTCTGCATTACATGTACATTCCTATTATTCAGTATTACACTTGTTTGATTCTCATATGAGGGTTTTGCTTCAATACCATTATATATATTAATACAATGTATATTGGTGTACTCAGTTCTTATACTACCAACATCACTTTAATTAACGTTTACGGAAATGTTATATTTAGTTGTGTTCATATCTACGTGTACATTTATATCCTTTTAATGTATTTAATGATAATAATTGTTGTGAAATCCCTCTAAGGCCCACCCCCCCCCCCCCCCTCTCTCTTATATTTTATTCTCGAGCTATCTGCCCAGGAAAACTGCTGTATTTGTTGTTGGTTGTCCCCTGCACCCGCATTATTTGTCCGTTGGGTTCATGGTCTTCACCTAGTGCGAGGATTCCGGATCGGATGGCGGGTGGTTTGGGTGTGGGGGACGGCTAGCTTGTGTTTGTGCAGGATTCCTGGCTGGAATGCGCGAGGCACTTTAATTTTGTTTAGCTGACATTGTCTTCCCCTCTCTTCACTGTTAATCTTTTTAAACCCCATTACATGGTCTTATGCTTCTTCTGTTTTTGGACTCTCGGTCTGTGCCTGATTTAGTTATTGCACAGCTCGAGAATCCTCTTTTGATTTACTTGTAATGATATATACTTATTGTTGTTAGTGTTTATATGTCGTATTTGCAATATTCAGTGATGATAGTTTTTTTAATATTTTGACTGAGGTAACTTATTTACAGTATGTATTCGTTACCGCCATTTTATGATGTATACTTGATTTAAATTTTATATTGTACCCAAGACAGGTGTCAGTCTTTGGACTGTTTGTTCTTGGTTTTGGATGTGATTTGCTTTGATTTCAATAAATCCCATATATAACGGTATTATACCTGTACGTTCTGTTCTTTGAGTTGCTGTTTTTGATTGGTTAGATCCTCATTCCTCTTCTTCTGCATAGTAAGCTGAGATCTAGGAATGAAAAGAAGAGAAATCAGTAGGAGGCATAATGGCTCAGTATTAGAAAAAGATTGTATAAATAGGACATGTCGGGTAGGGAATTCACTAATATCCTCTGGTAAGGCTTTACTTATCAAACACCTCAGATAACACTTAAAGCTGTTTATCCATTGGTTGCTAATCTACAAGCATATATTGTCTGTTTGGAGTCAAAAGAGCATAAACTCCAATACTTTACCACAAAGTTACATGTATAATATCAATAATGCTGTTGACAATTCATAGATACCGTAAATCTCTGTGTATAAGGCGCACCTGTGTATAAGGCGCACCCCTATTGTTGCTGAAAACCCACGCGGAGAAGGTGCAGTTGAAGGTGTCGATTTGTGCTTGTGAAATTGTCACAAATAATAGTAACAATGTCGTTTTTAGAAAAATGTGTAAGATCATTAATGTAAATTAAAAACAGTAGAGTACCTAGGATAGAACCTTGTTGTACGCCATGTAATAGAAGAAAAATTTGAGGAATTACTATTATAAACTACATATTGAGATCTATTAGAAAGATTACTTTCAAACCAAGATGACAGACAAATTTGAGTGTTGTTGTAGTTTCCAAGTGGTGAGTCAACAGTGACCCTCGTTTTTCTTTTCTTTTTTCGGCGGCAAAAAAGTGCGCCTTATACACAGAGATTTACGGTATTTGTACATTGGTAGAAAGTACAGTGATTTATGGAAATATATCTGAGGACTCGCCCATTTGAATAAATAACATTTAACTCTTGAATGACTGGATCACTGAATGATGACCACTTGGACAAATTCACAACATCTCAGGATTAACGCATTCAAAATCATTATACATGTATGTCTAGCAGAGCCGGGGTAATATTGGAGCGCTTTGAGCTCCTTGCAGGGTGGATATGTGCGCTATATAAATATGCAATATTATTATATTATTATGCTGTATTTTAGAGAACTACAGTTATATTACCTTAGTTCAGATATCTTGCCCTCAAACTTCTGACCCAGAACTCTGCATTCTTCTTTCCATCTATAAAGAAAACACAAGAAATTCAACGGGTAGATGATAATAATTGATTAGTGTGCATTTAAACCAATAGAGTGTGAAGGAGGGAAGCAATGGTTATATATGGACACTACAGGTAAACCTACCAACTGTCACGAGTTATCTACCAGCAATAACTTTCTTTTTGTGGTTTTAAGAATTACTACATCTGTAAATGATACAGAATACATAAAATAGGCAATTTCAATCCTAAATGTAAGTTTTATGCATGCTCTTCAGGCAACAGTTGCGACATCTTCACAAGTGTGTCTTAAATAACAAAAGCTAATGTAAGTAATCTGTAGGCTGAATACTGAATACTTTTATTTGTAACATGTCATAATTCATCAAGAAACATTTGGGAAAGAAGTGTTTATAACATCTGAATGTATGAAAAACATGGTTTCTTTTGCTTTGTGCATACTGTCAGCTGACATCAGGAATGTTCAATGATATGAAGATTCAAAGAGTTGATTGATAAGGGTTAGGGAGATACATACTTTGAGCTCATCCTCTGTTGAGTGAGGACCATCTGTCTGAGTTCCTTGGTAGATTGTCTGCTGTTCTCCTCCACACTCTCCAGACGAGCCTCATACTCTCTCCTCATCATACTCATCTCATGTTCTACACTGATCAACTGCGGAATTACAAATATTCTTGTTATCATCAAGCTAAATCTTATGTGATTTCTAGTACCTTCAACATTCATATAAATACTTGCAGCACATACCCCCAATTTGTTTCTGTTAATGTTTGGAATACAATCGCTTTACAACAACAAACACAACTTCTCTTCAGCAATATCCCATTTAAAGCCTATGTGCACTAGTTGGCCAGGAGGGATAAGACCTCCCTGCGTGGTCACTGACAGGTAGTTATCTCATCAAATCAGCTCTCAATTAACATAAGAAAAAGGGGACCATGGGGGATCAACGGGTACTGCTTGGGCATTGTTGGCTATATAGAGGGCGCAAGTAGCTACAAGTAGTACAGTCCCGCATTTAACAGTTTATGATATGCAATATTTTATTGTGGAATGAGCACATAAATCAAAAGTTTTTGAACAAAATGGCAAACCATATTGCCCCTAGATAAGTTAAGTATGCAGAAAGTCATACATTGTGCACATCTGTCCAGTAATGTGTTGAAATGCTTTCTTTTGTTCATGATGATTAGCCTCAGAACCTGGACAAACTTAATAATCAAAAGGCTTGGGTAATTCAAATTCAATCCTATATAAGGACTACGCAATAACTTTTTTGGCAGGGGGTCCGGATTTAACCTTTTAACATTGGGTTAAAATTCAAAAATGCTTAGAGTCCAGACTAAGATTTTGAGCGAGCTTGTGAACTGACTGCCTAGTAGTATCGAGCCCTGTCTATATCTTGAGATACAGATATGAAGTCTATATACATTACATACATCTTTAGCAGCTGATCTCCCTGTATCCTCCTTCTCTCTGCGTAACTCTATCATCTTCTTCTTGAGGTTATCATTATCTTCAGTCAATCTCAGTCTCTCATCTGATAAGGTTTCACACTCTCTCGATAACTTCTCAAGTCTTCCTCTCAGCTGGTCTGTTACGAGTAAACTCCTAGACTTCTCTTCCTCATGACTGTAAAGAAACAAATGAAACATTACGGACTGTCACCTATTTCCAGGTTCTAGTTCAACTTACGGAAAATGTGTAAGCTTTCCAACCCTTCCTTTAAGTAGGCCTGTTACAGGCAGACCCATTAAATTTTCATCTTTATGAATAAAACAAGAAGAATAAATTTGATATGACAGCAGAGGCTTCTTAACTATTCCTTATGTTGGAGAAAACTGACATGTAAAATATTTGTATCTTATACAGCGCTCTACCATTAACTGACCGAAGCACTTTATACAGTATAATTATTACCCCGGTCACACATTCTCCACCCATTGGGGAGCAATAAAGCTAGTACAGCTAGAGCACGTGTTAATCCCACAACAATGACATTTGCATCCCATTGGGTGCCCATTTAACACCTGGGTGGAGGGGAGCAATGTTGATAAAATGCCTTGCTTAAGGACATAAGTGCCGTGCCGGGGCTTGAACCAACGACCTTTGCATTCCCAGTCAAGTGATTAAACCACTAGACTACTCCTCTTCATTCCATGGGACCCACCTGTACTCTTGTCTCTGCACGTTCTTCTCTATCTGTTGAGCTCTTATCAAGGTTTCATCTTTTAATCTCTCCATTGCAATGATCCTATTCTGTAACTCATTTATACGTTGGTCTCCCGTCACGGCTGTGCCTTCTTTATACATCTAAAAAGGAGCATAAAAGGTCATCAGGTCAGAAATGTGCTAGCTAAGATTATTGTGAGTTTATGCTACCTATAATTCTATGTTGGCTGCGAGGGAAATAGCCAAAATGTACAGCGAAAATCAGAACTCAACCTTCTCTGTAATAGAGAATAACACTTCGCACAAGGGCAATTATTTGAATCTTGAGTCTTCCAGTTCTAAGACGGTTCCTCTAATCACTAAGCTCATCTATCTCACATTCCCTATCTTTGGTGAATATCAACCATATCCAAAAGCCCTCAAATTTACATGGTGTAAATATATCAATGCCCTGGTGCCTTAGGCTTACACATAATCCCCTGAATGAGTCATTTTCATAGAAACTACACCAATAGGAAGCATGAGAGCAACTTCCAAATGTACATGAGCCCAATGCAGGGTGGTATATCAGTATCATCTGAGGATATAATATTTACCTGTTCAAGCTCATGCTCTACTGCCCTCTTCTCTCTGATTGCTCTTTCTATCTCAGCTTGTTTCTCAGCATTCTCCTGTAAAATAAAAGACAGAAAGAAAGAACAAGGGCTTGAAATATGATCAGTGTTAATATCCCCACATACCAAGGACATTGCAACATGATTGGTCTACCTGCATGACTACTCAAACAAAGAGTCTAAGCAAGATATCTCTTTATACATTTCTGACTGATTTTGCTCTACCAGGAGTGTTGAGCCATATTCGTCAAGGTCTCATTCAGATATGATGCAGTCAAGCATCGCAAATTAACCGCCATTTTCTTTTTTTGTTGCGTGTAAATGAATGGCACGACTGCACGCAACAAAAAGGTCCTGCACCTGTTCACTGAGCTCTGTGTTTAGGAAATGTGAAGACTCTTACACTTTACATCATTATAAAAAACAAAACAGTGGTTTTGCTGCATCCTATCTAAACAAGACTTTTGGCATTTTAACTTGGAATTGAATCCGGGACCTCATGGTTTGAATACTACTGCTCAATCTATTGTTTCACGAAACCTCTGATATGAGTACTCACCGTTTCTAAGGCTGTAACCTCCTCCATCAGCTTAGCAATATTAGTATTACATTGCTTTCTGATGCTGTCTACTTCTTGTCTTGTTCGTTTGCCTGCATCATTGACTAGTTTACCCAGAGCATCCGCTAATCTTCTCACTTCCTCTTCTTTCTGCTGCTCTCGGATCATAGCCTACGTTCATGAAGGAGAAAGGTCAAAGGTCATAGTGGGGGTCATTCCATGAGGGGAGAAAAGATATGAGGCTGTCCATGCATGTAGCGATATGAGAAACTTTACTACACTTGAAAGATGATCATCTGTTGATGTTTAAGCAATGGATATATAATCTGTAACACAACTGTAACTGTAACATAAATTATGTTATATAAATGTGTGTGTTGTTTGTGTAGCGCTGCAAATACCCTATGGCCTGCCATGAGTCTGGCATGGGATAATAGACCTGGTATCTACAGTGTATGTATAAAAACTTCTTTGAAATAAAGACTTGATAAAACAACTATAATAGAAGTGTCCTGCCAGAGTCACTTGTTTCAATACTCTTCAAAATCTTTCCTTAATGTGCTTTTTTCTTTTTACGAGCATTACATGGACACCAAATTTATATAACATTACATAAATTTCGGGTCTATAATATTGATTCACCATGAAGCTATAGTACTTCTAAACATAGTTAGTTGAGCTTTTTAAGCTAAACACAATTAGTGCAAACATTGTTATGGTTGAAAGGAGACATGGCTTCTCACTTCCCATTGGCATGTCACAAAAATGCTCCAACTCCATGGAATGACAATGCTAAAATCATGTATGGAATATTAAATTTATATAAGAGGTGGATCAATGTAGCAAGCCAAAGTCATAGAAAAATCAAAAGCACTTGTGTATTAGCTTTATCAATATAATATAATTCATTTAAATATTGGTTCTACTTTATCTTGAAAGACATTTTTTTTAAACATGCAATAAGGATTTGCTCAGGAATCCATAAAATTCATTTCATAAAACTAAAAATAATAATACCGTATTCCATGAACATTTACTACTTTGGGATTAGATACCGGTATCTAATTCCTCAGTCATCACTTTAAAAATAATTCAGTTTTGTGTTCTTAATATGAAGTGAATTTACCTGGTCTTTCTCTAGCAATGCATTTTCTGACATCTGTATACTCTCCCTTACTTGCACTGTTGCTTCATATTCACGACAATCAGCATCTGTACTGTAAGATTAAAAGATTACATTGGCCAAATGACATCAATACAATAAATACAAATCAAATTACCAGATATAAACATTTATTCATCCTTTCAATCATTCATTTGAAATGGTATTACAAGAATTAAAACAAAAAAGTAGTTGCAATATAAAACTGAATTGTACATATTTACAAACATGTAAAAAGTGCCATAAAAAATCAGATCAAAAGTTCTAAACAAAATCATATTTTTAAACTATACTAATAGTGGCCGGATGTCAGTCAATGTTGGTAGCAACCATTATGTATTATCATTCATGTTTGCTATGGACGTTTGTGATATTTCTAATACTTTAATTGGATAACACATATTAAAGATTTTTAGCTACTATAAAAATTCACAAATTATCATTTCTTACTGTCTCAATACACCTATTGTATTTGAATAGGTGCATCTATACTGCACAAAGATTTTTTTTTCCCCCTATAAGAATTTTAAAAAGGGCTCAGTTTGTCTCGCAAAATGACAAAAGTTTAGGAATGCAACTCATGCAATCACAAAGAAGTGGTTGCATAACCAATCATCCCCACGATATGCATGTAAAGACTGAGCAATGTTGAGCTCACTGCTGCTGCAGACATACATGTAAGTTTATTTTGCTGTTTAGCATGTTACAGTTACAGTTCAAGTTTATTTCCACTCATAAAAAGACAAAAACTATAAAAACATATACAATTCCAAGTTATAAACACATCACATAAATAAATACTTGTACAAAGTGAGAGAAAGAGAGAAAATCCATTGAATTGGGATTGGAAGAGGCACCAGAGGTCAAAGGGCTATTGAGGGCTAGCTTCTCACTTTTAAAAGTTTAAAAGCAAACAAGATTTACCATCTCTGATGCAGAGCTTTAATCCTGTCTTCTAGCTCCTTCTTAGCTCCTTGTAATCTCATATTCTCTTGAGATATGAGCTCCATAGTCAACTCCAGCTCCTTGACTCTCTCTTCAAGACCTGGTATCCTACCCTCTGAGGACTGGACACGACTACGTAGCTCACCTAGATCCTTGTCCTACATACATCAATATAATAATAATAATAATATGAGATATGAGCTCCATGGTCAGCTCCAGCTCCTTGACTCTCTCTTCAAGACCTGGTATCCTACCCTCAGAGGACTGGACACGACTACGTAGCTCACCTAGATCCTTGTCCTACATACATCAATATAATAATGTAAGGACCCACACAAGACAAAACTAGTCTTACATGTTTGAGGACTTGAGCTTCACTGTTAGATTTTAATACAACCACAAAATGGCTGCCAAGATGGCTGACATCCAGTCCATTAAACAATAGTAACCAATCACAAGATTGGACAAGAAGTAAGTAACCAATAGAAAAGCTTGTAAAAGATAGAGTGCCATGTGCCTATAGTGTGCTGGGTGGAATAGCTAAGAGATAGGAAGAGTGAGTGTGTATGTGGTGCTATGGCAGGTAATGTGCATGAGGATGAATCACTATGAACATGACTGACAAAGAAAGCGGACAAAATATACAGTTCCTCAGGTAGATAAAGGAACATCCCTTCACTGCTATTATGTAAAAATGTGTAGAACAGGTGTCACATGGATATTCACTTTTTACATAATAGCTGTGAAGGGATGTTCCTTTGTCTACCTGAGGAACTGTATATTTTGTCCGCTTTCTTTGTCCAACATGTTCATAGTGAATGAATAGGGACAGAACAATAGAAGCCAAGAGCTAGCAGACATGAGAGAATAAATGTAGGTCAGGAGTGCGCTGAAGCATAACAGAGTGGAAAGCCAAAGTAAAATAAACAAGTAACCATCCGGCTCAGTAAAATTAAAACCTTACAATAATAATAATAATAACTAGCAGGACCCGCGGAAATCCGCGGGATTCTAGAGGGGGGCGGGGGGTGTAAATAGATATATAGAGACTGTCTAAATTAAAACCACCAAGAACTTTATTTGCCATTCAGGCCATTAAAAAAATATACATGTTTAGCGTCCTCGCCCGCTTTTTTTTAAAATATTTTATTTTTTTATTTTTTTTATTTTTGAAAGAAAAAAACAGCGTTCCCGTCTGCTTCCTTTTTGGGGGCCGCCTCCTATTTTTTTTTAATTTATTTATTTATTTATTTTTTTTTTTTTTTTTTTTTTTTGAAAGAAAAAAAACATGAAAAGCACTGCTAAAATGTATTTCTGATTTTAAAAAAGAAAAAAAAAAATTGTCGGCCGCCATCTTGAAAAATAGCCTGAATGTCAGGGAAAATGTACGGAGCGGCCATTTTGAAAGAAAAAAAAAAGAAAAAAAGGGCCTCCTTCCCATTTTTCGAAAAAACAGGACGCTAAACATGTTTTTTTTTTAATTTGGCCTTATATAAAAAAACAAAAACGATCCAACTATACCAGTAGTTATTCTTTAAGCCACTGGAACTGCGTAGAGTTCCGTAGTGTGGCGTACCGACTACGCAGAAATTAGGCTGCGTATTAATGGGAAAATAGTCCCTGCGTAGGTTATGCGTAGGCTGGCGTACAGGTTTGCTTATGGTTGCTTACTGTGTGGAAAGCTTTTACTGCTTTGTCAATCTGGCGTAGGGTAGCGTACTGTTGCGTAGTCATGTAGCGTAGTGTTGCGTAAAAAGGCGTACTTTCTGCGTCAAGTTTCTACGCCGAAAGTACGCGAAAAAAATTAAACATGTTGAATTGTTTTCGTTCATCTTGCGTACCCCTTTCCGTCCCCCAGCATATAGTAACGTAGGCCAGCGTAGTTGGTACGCAACACTACGCAACTCTAGGTATTGACCCCACGCCAAATAAAGTATTAAAAATATGCTCATCTGACCCTAATTAAACGCCTAAACCCCCCGAGCTTTCGGGGGTTTATGGCCCCTTGAAACCCGTGGACCCCACGCCTACACTCAACTCGCTTCGATCTACCTGATCCCCCTCGCCCCCCCCCCCCCCCACAACCCGTGGACCCCACGCCTACACTCAACTCGCTTCGATCTACCTGACCACCCCCCCCCCCCACACTTTGAAAAATGTTTTGTGGGGTCTGCATGTAACATGTAAGATGCAGATTTTTTTTTGTAACATGTAAGATGCAAAAAAAATATTTTGCCCCCCCCCCCCCCCCCAACGATCTTATGGCACTTCGGCCTGCCCGCTGTTGTGTTCACGTGTAGGCCTACTTCAATGAATGGATAGACATAAAATAGTCGCATGGATGGATACATAATATAGCGTATAGTTGTCGAATATTGGCATGTTTGGCCCTTCATAGTCTCTTCGACTCTGAATAGCTAGCTCACTCACTCACTCAGCTCAGTCGAGCAGCCAGCGCAGCTGCACTGCACTATACACACTGTATGCGTACGGCAGAGCTCTTGAAACTGAACGATGTTTTTCTCTGATTTTCTTGTGAAAACTTTCCTTTAATAAATGATAATCAAAACTGAGTAAACATGGCCAGAATAATCACAAAATAAGCTTTGATTTCATACCTCCACTCACGAAAACTATATAAAAATCCCGGCAATAATGATGGAAATAGGTCTCTAAGTTTGGACGTGGATATGGGAAGACATCTGTTGCGCTGATCATGAAATAAGCTAATAAATATCAAATAAAGACTCAACAATTTTAAATATGAGGTCGACATTTTAATTAAAAAAAAAATGGTAAAGATTACAACATCTAAAATATACAAAACAAACACGGGGAAGAAAAAAAAAACACTTGAGACGGAGGCGGGATCGAACCCGTGCGTGCAAAAAGTGCAAGAGCTGCCGGCGAATCGAACGCAACCGGCGCCTCAGACCGCTCGTCCACTTCCGTTTCATGCTAAAGCATGAAATTCGTGACGGATAAGTGGGACGTGCGGACGCGTCGACGACGTCGACGACGACCGGGACGTCGCACCGGGCCGGGACGTGGCCAATTCCGTAGATTGAAACCCCGTCCGTCCGCGGGACCGCCCGGCGGCGCCCGGGGGCGGGCGGGAGGGGAGATCTGGGCGCCGTAAAATGGACCCCGGATACCCCCCTCGACGCCTTAGCGTATTATTATATGGATAACCTAGGCTTCTATAGCGCATTTCATCTTCAGAGAAAATAACAAGGCGCTTTACAATAATAAAGCAACAAGATTATACATAACTACTAATTCATGAACTAAAGAAATTTCAAAATAAGGATAAGATTAATCATAATCAATCAATATCAACATCAATATAAAACATATTATATTTTTACAAGTCATAAAGAGCAATGCCATTTTTGTATCCTAAATATCATTTATAAGCCCTTCTTTACAGTCATTATACTTTACAATCATCATTATTTTATAGGTATAATATAATCACAAGTCGAATTGTCATGAAAATAAAAACAATTTAAAGAATTGCAAAAGAGAGACACTGACAAGTTATAGGGGATTTCCTTTAGCGACATGTGTGGTGGGGGGGGGGGGGAGGGGGTAGAGACAGAGAGAGAGAGAGAGAGAGAGAGCACAGCAGCTTTATAGACAGAAATTAACAGATGCACTTTGACTTCACATTGTGTACTACATCATAATCGTGGAGGACCTGGGCCCTGTCTTATAAACAATTGCACTTCATCGCAACTTATTTGCGATTGATAATCGCAACTATGTACATGTACATAACAGATAGTAGACTGCAAACTTGTGATTGATTTGAATCAATCGCAACCAATTATAAGACGGGGCCCAGGGGGGGGGGCATTTAAAAAAGATCCTAAGTTGAACTTATCTCGAACTTAGACTTAACAATTATGGAAAGCCGTTAGCATCTATGAAAACATTTTGTAAAATTGATTTTGAAAGACTAAAAATGGTGATTTAAATCTTTCATACTTTCTATTATCAAGGAGATGTCATGTTCTTGATGTGGAATTTATAAAAAGTCTTAAATACTTGATTTTCACTTTTGATTATATTTAATTTTAAGGCTTCAAATGGCTCTCCATGATTTTTAAGTCCAACTTCGAGTTAAGTTTGACTAAAGATCTTTGTGAAACACCCCCCAGGAGTCTCTAGTTTGACAGACACGAGAGCTGTACAAGCACCTACCATTATCATTATCATTTAAAGAAGCTCTTACCTTTGCTCTGCACTGTTGTTCTAGTGTATCTTTCATAGTAGTGAAGTCTCTGAGTTGGATAGATGTTGTCCTTAGATCACCTTTAACTGTTCTTAGCTGGTCTCTCATACCTTCTATCTCCTGACTCTGTGCATTCATCACATCCTGAAGATGTCTGTTAGCCTATAACATAACATCACATTTAATCAACACATCTTCAATTCATCACATCCTGAAAAGATTCAGTTAAACTCATGGAGCCCTTTTCTAGCCCAGCACTTAAATTATTTGGCAAGACATGGATCCACATATGCCACTCTCTACCCAGGTGTAAATAGGGACCTGGCAATCTCTGGGTAAAATAATTGCAGGGCCCTCAGGAAGAGCAGTAATATTGATGTGGATACCTTGGTAAATAAGTCCCTATTACCATCTATCATTATTACCGGTATTAAAATTATTCAACTATCTTATTCACCAACAGTTATGTGAAGATCTGCCAGTGTTAAATTATCTCCTCCCCACATTCATTTGTATATATTATTTCTGATGCATGACATGTTTATGCTTCCAAATAAATGTATGCTAATTGGAATTGTCTTTTGTAGGAATGCAAACTTGTTCATTTATGTAAACATAAAACGTAAATATCACAAATTCCATTGCATTGCTAAAGGCATGGACAACAAAGAGAATCTTCACCAACCTTTCCTTACTTTAACTGAAGAACTTTAAAAATTAACATACAGAATTGGAAATTGATTTGATACCTATAACAGGTTTATCAAAGTTTCTAAAGAGTAGGCTACTATAGAGCACTCCTAATTTGCTGTACATTAGCAATCTAATATAATAGAAAAGATTGTGATAGCGAGGGAGAATTTTTGAATGGCACATGTAGTTGTTACTAATTAACCAAGTTATGAAGTTATGATAAAGAAAGTCTAACTTACCGTTTCTAGTTTGTAGTTATTATCTCTAAGCTGTTGATTGTCCCTCATAAGAGCTACTCCTTTAGATTCTATGGCATGATGAGTAGAGACTTGAGCTTTAGAGTTTCCTAACATATCCTGTAAAAAATAATCATTGTTTGGCATTAGCTATAATGTTCAATTATAAGTACCCCAGTACCAAAAAAACACAAAAACACCACATGCACATGTAGGAATACATCAAAATATGGAAGGAAATCTTATAAATATAGTATCCTCAGAGCTGCCAACCTGTCACTTTCATTCAGCTTGAAAAAGTATATTTTGCCTGTTTGATCTGTTTTTCATTATTTCCCCTATGAAATGCTACTAACTAGATCTATGTTTCTTTGAATAAAAACGTGTTCAATGTCAGAAAGTTGTTTCGTGTGAATAAATTAAAAAATAAAATGCTGATTAACATTTTGGTTGAATTACAGTACTTACTTGAAAAGTTTATAGTAGAGCAAACTACATGTAGATGAAAACAGCAAAGGAAAATAATGTAGCGAGTATAATGCACTCAATATCACAGCACACAAGTCCATCTGAGCTCGCTCAAGATTTCAGTGATTTCTTCACAACCAAGATTAGACATCTTCGCGACAACCTTGATCAGCAAATCTATGGAGACCTCTCAGCTGATGAATTTTGACGAAGTCTCACAGGACGAGGTTTTGTCAATCCTTAAGACGTCATCTTCAGCATCCTGTGCCTTGGATCCCTTGCCCACCATCCTCCTGAAGCGTTGTACATCTATTCTTGCTCCTCTCATCACAAAGTTTGCAGGGTGAGTGCGTGCAGATTCATGCATGTATTGCATGGAGGGCACGGTCACACAATGCAATAGCACAACAATGCATACGCACGTTCTCACAGCCATACTCGGAACTTTCAAAAAATGTATTTTAGCACAGCAAAACGTACAGACATATTTTCCCCAAAACTACGTATTGAAAAATACGTAAAAAACATACTAGTTTGCAGCTCTTTATCCTGGATGCTGCAATTTTCTTTGAGAAGAAAAAAGCCGAATATTTTCACTTAAACAATTGGTTACAATTCATACTTATGTTACATATTTTGTAAAACTTTCTTTAACTTTAAAAACGTATTGTTGTTTATGTTATTTCATGTCTTTTGTTCCAATGAAAAAAAATAAATGGACATATTGTACTAAGTTTCGGGAAAGCAAAAGTTGAATTCTTTCAAAAGGGAAACATTTCAATAGGTCAATTGTCACCTTTAAATTAATGTTATATGGAATTAAAATGTATCCTTTATCCACATCAAACTTTTTATACTTGAAAAGGTAAAGAACTTTTATTCAAAGGTCAGTATAAAATACAAAACAGCAGTATATACATGTAGATTTGCCTTAAATCAGTTTTGATGAATTTGTGAGGTGCTGCAACATAGATCTCTGATTTCAGCACTCAATCTCTGTCAAATAACATGACTAATTCATTTAACTACTTCAATCAATTCTGCCACTACTAGTGACATCACTGATCTACGATTGAAATTTCAAAATATGAACAAAACAAAAGTCAAGTATACATATCTAAACCACAGAAACAGTATGACACACAACCAATAATACAATTTGACACACAAGACTGGAAACTATATCTGGACAATGAATAGGATTACAATAAGGTAAATTGATTTGAAGAGAGTAGCTTGGCTTACCCTATGTTCTGATGCAAGTCTGTCTAATTCATGTACAGTTTCTTGCCACATCTCATTGGCTGTTTCTCTTTCCTGTATGGAGATGCACATGGGAAATAAAAGACATTTGGGGCTTGATTGTAAGATATCAATAATTACTGGCTTTGCACAAGAGCAGTATGTTAATCTACTCTCCACCAAATAACAGCTGAGAAGTGAGGAATGTAGATAGAAATACTCTCTTCAGAGTATGAGAATAAAAAGCACAAATTTGATTGATTGATTAATAATCTTTTTCTGGTAGTTGTTCCCTAAAGTTATAAATGAATTATCTTACAACATTACTGACTGATAGAATGGTTACCTTTCCCAATAGTTCTATCTGTTTCATCAAGTTATCAATGAGTTCTATATCAACATACAATAAGTTTGATTGATTGATTGATTGGTTGAACACCGTTCTCTGCTTTGCTATCTTCAATGAGTTCTCTCTCAACAAACACAAAGTGTGATTGATGGTTTGATTGGTTGATTGATTACCTTTTCTAGTAGCTCTATCTGTTTCCTTAAGTTATCAATGAGTTCTTTCTCAGCATCCTCCTCAGTGTGGTCTCCTCTCAAGCCTGACTGAATTGTTTCCAGCTGTCCCCCAACCACTGATTTCAGTTCGTGGTGTAAACTGAAAGGTACAAGACAGACAGTAATCAACAATTCAGGCAATGTTAGCAATTAACTTCACATTAGTATAAACAGTCTGATGAGAAAGTAAAGTTGAACTGAATTTACTTTCGCCCAACTCAACCTCCAACTGCTCGAAATGTATACTACAGTGAGCGTGTTCAGATTGTAGACTTGGAACAAAATGTTCTTGAAAGAAAATATTCTGGGCACACGTTCACATATGCTTTCAAAAATAAAACTATTCTCGGCACATGTTTGTTCAGACTAAAATAATAATAGTAATAATACAAAATGCTTGCAAGAACATTGTGTTTCAAGAATGTGTTTCAAGAATGTGGTCCAACTGTGCTTTTGTTAGAACGCTTTGGGCTTGGCACAATGTTCCTTTAGCACACATTCACATTAAAAAAATTGATGTGTGCCAAGAACAGTTTGCATCAAAAATGTGTGCTGAGAACAAAATGTGTATGCCCAGATAGTGGACTCAGATAATACAGGTCATTTGAACACATACTCAACTTAAAATGTTGTTTTTTTTTCTGTCATCTTTCTGTACATCGCAACTCGCAAGTAGATACATGAAAAAAGATGTCCTCTGCATCATTTCTTTCAGGTATATTGTACATATCATATATTTGTTAATGATTTGTTTGTATTGTTGAGCTACAAGGTTAAACAAAACTCAACCAATTTAATTACTAATAAAGTTTAACGGTTCAAATTTTGTGAAATATTACTTGTTGGATTTCTTCATTACTGTAATCTTATCTTTCATGATGTTGTCTTACCTGTTATTTTCTTTGACCAGTTTGTCTACTTTGCTTTGAAGGTCTCTCATCTCTGCCTGCAATGGAGAATGTACATAAAACACACATCATATCATTCTGTATCACTATTGATCATTCTTGCTTCAAGTATATTACATATAATGGCAGAGTTTAAACAAAATATCGTTATAGGTAAAGTTAGAGAATGAAAGACATTAGAAGAAAAAGTCAGACAGAACTAACAAGAAAAATGGGAATTAATGTAGAAACAAATGGTGATACAATATCTTGATAATAATTCCTTGCTCTTCATACTTTACTTACCTTATATACACCAATTTGCTGATACTGCTCTGCTATTCGCTTGTCATACTCTGTGATCAACGGAGATAACATTCTAAAAAGAAAGACAGACAAAAGGAAATGTACATTCACAAATTGTACATTCTTATGTCATATTATAGTATTAATGACTGCTTTGAGAGAAATAGTTGTTTTATTACGCTCAAGGGAAGGTTAGAATAGCCCAATTGTAACCTTCCCGAGAGCGTATGAAAACAACTATTTCTCGAATATTAAAGCAGTCATTAATACTTTTATATGCCGAAAAAAAATAGACTAAAAAAAAAAAAAAAAAAAAATAATTTACATTTTTGTCGAAGACGGGATTCGAACTCTTGCGTACAACAAGAGGTGTATCGAAAACCAACGCTTAGACCACTCGGCTATCGCGCGCCGTTAACATGCTTGGCAGTTTTCTCCAATATATACATTAAAATGGATTGAAAACGGCTCCGCGTGAGGGATGCTTCGCAAAAGCTCCATGAAACGGACCCTTCTTTTACTTTTGCAATGCATATTGGCACGAACTTAGATCAAGATCTATCGGCAGATGTTGTTTTTTTGTTTTTGAGAGTTAATTTTCGTCTTCATGTCAACAATGCAAGATAAAATTGTCGGTAAGATCGATCGAGATTCAATTGTATTGAAATTGCCGACCAATTTTTCGCACACGTATGGTATCCTCCATCGCTCAAACCATTTTTTAACATGTAAACCTATGGGGTAACCATGGAGACTGACCTATTTTTTTAATAACCATGGTTATTAAAAATATTGAAATGTTTTAAGCATGGTTACCGGGAATTTTACAGGAACAGTTGAAGTTTATGAATGCAATTCGACCAATCAGATGGCTGGATTTCTTAAGTGAGGTATATAAAAAGTTATGTATATAGAGGAGGATGGTTGGTTGGACTTAAATGATGTGGTACATGTTATTGTGTAAAATTTCTCTTTAAAATCTCTCATCACTTACATTCTGCTTGTTTGCCAAGGAGCAGCTGGATCACCCTGGTGATATAGACTCTCCTAAATGAATAATAAACAGGGAGGAAAAACATAGTTTAGTACATTGCTCTTCATTGTGGAGAATCCTTTCTCCTTCAAAAGCAATAACAAAGCTATGAATGAGGAACTGAACATTGTTAAGCTTTATGGCCGAGTGATCTGGATGATTTGAAGATCTAAAGAAAAAGAGCTTAATAGAAATGTTCTTTTGAGTCAGTGAGTACATAACCAACTCAAAATGGGTAGTAGAGAACATAAAGACGTAAAAGCAATATGTGATATTATCAAGGAGGACAATGTCCTATTGTTTAATTCTTTTTGATGAATGCTTCAAGTAATTATTATGTAAGCGTACATTGCACATTGTAAAGCGCTTTGAGAGGGCCTTCGGTCCTGAAATGCGCTATAAAAGAACAAACTATTATTATTATTATTATTAATATCAAGGTTATTCAGAAAAACTATAGCTCAAGTTTTTTTAGAGCACAGAATCTTACCACTTCCTTCTTTTCCAAAGGGCCATACTTCTCTTGATATCGTTGCAGAACAGCATTCAGTCTTTGGACTATAGAACAAAATAATGAATGTGGAAAAGAAATTAAACCTCTTGGCAATACATATGTGTATCAATCATTTAGGATGAGGATCAATTGAGTAGCTGTCCATGGTTCGGTCAGTTCCATACATGTATCTCAAAATATCTGTAAGATTTCAAAATTCTGATACCACCAATGGAAAGAGGATCATACGCGCACTCATAGAATTATCTATAGCGGTAGTAACAAAAGTGCATAAGCGCTGCAAATTGTGCAGTCTTTTGTATCTATTCTGTAAAAATATGAACTTGCTGACAAGTCAAGCAAAGCCCAAGGATCCAGAATCTTCATTTTGAGAGATGTCATCAAACTTGTAAGGTTCTCTAAGGAAAAGTGATTTCCATTGCAATCTGTGAATTATCTTACCTGATGCCATGGATCACTTTTTTGTGGATAAATCACCTTTAAACTCTCATGTGCGAAGAGAATTCATTGTTTTTAAGAATTTTCTTCAGTTGAAGCGTATTTGTATTTTGATTGACATTACGACAATTACAATGATATCGCAATATTCACTGATAAAGTTGTAACCTAATAAATAATAACCTCTTGCCAATTCTCGCCAAATAACACCAATCATGCAAACCACTGCCAAACTCACAAATCCTCTCTCCTAAGTCTTCAACTTATAATCTAAACCAAGCCCTAAATTAATACCACTCACCCACTTCAAGTTCAGTGCAAGTCTGCCTGTGATTTTATTATTATCATGCTGTCCATGTGCCTCATGCAAAGTATATTCAAATGAAATACATTATCAACCAATAGTAAAATAAGATTTAATAATAATACTAAATATTCATTAGGAAAAGGAGAAGAGAACCAATGATAAACAAGAATTGGAAATATGTAAAGCATACACACAAGACTCATGAATACAGAATGAGAAGAGAACAAAGGAACATACCAGGTGAAATGGACAACTTGGTATGTAGGTCTAGAGAAGATGAATGGAGGAAGGCATTGGGTCAAGTGAATAAGCAAATGATGTAAAATGAATATGTATAAAAAGAAGAGACTAGAGAAACAAGTAGTAGACTCTAATTGGGACAAATACAAGTAGGGAATTAGTCTAATTTAAACTCTTACAAAGTGATAAGTGATAGAAGTCTAGTCTATTGCCGGAATTCTATTTTCTACTTTTCAAAAATTCTAGTCTAGAAAAGTAGAATTCTACGATTATTCGCACCTACGACCTAGATCTAGACTCTATCTAGATCTAGTAGTCCAAACAAAAGTTGCTGTCCATTTGGTAGTAATTGATCTCAATCAATTTATGAAGAATACAAGAGATCATGGATAGAATATAGATCTAGGCCTAATAATATCACATTTCTAAATTTCTTTCAAATGTGTGCGAACTTAGGACACTCCACCATAAAGAGCTGGAACTCCAGGCCGACAGAGATGGGCAACTACACCGACCGTTTTCGCTACCCGCACTAGCTGTAGTCTAGTGGTCGCTTACCTTGATCTCGCAGGAAATTCGTTTCATCGCCTTCCATTTTACATGTGTTGTACAAAATCAACCCAGAATTGTCATTCTCTTCTAACTCTTTATTTGAAAGCGTGGTATACTGACAACAAAACCACCGAATATCGGAGAAATTTGAGAAATTAATAGCAAGTTTATCCTTTCAAGTCTTCCGCCATTTTGAAGCGTACGTCGAGACAGTTGCTATTGTGACGTCACGAAAAGTACAGATGGTCCCTCCCCTTTTTGGGGTATGATAATCAAATTCAAATGGGAGGAGAAGTGGGGGGAAAAAAAAGTTATTTTAGCAAATAATCTTACATACATACTAAGAAAATTTAGCTATTTAGATATTAAAAGATGTAATCATGAAACTACTTCCACCTTATCTTTTAGGCTAACTATAGAGAAAGGGCATATGGACTTTACTTATCCAACAGTGGCCTTGAATATGAATTTCCAAAGACTTTATGCATTGCTAATTTGCTATTCCTACAAATACAAGTTTTTTTGGCCTTGTTTAAGACAATCACTTTATGTAGTATTGTTGCTTTTGACATTTTGATTTGTAAAGAAGCAATTTTATTAATTCATGTGCATCAAGGAAAATTTGTTGTAGCTATAATTATGTCTTTTCCTTATCCTTTTCCTCTTTTACAACATACCCAAATGCACTAATTTCATGACCTTTGCTCTGTATCACAGGTAACAGTTTTACAATTTTATTTGGTAATTGGTCTTATTAATTAATCAATGAGTTGATTTTTATAGGTATTAAATTCTATTGATATATAACATTCAGAATTTTCCAGAATGTTAATAATGTATTTTACCTAAAAATGTCAAGAAGTAATTAGACAATTAACATTTTACCAATTTGTATATTGCTATGTAATTTGAATGTTAATGTTAATTTTTATCTTGTGTATAAACATATACAATTAGCTTAATGCTGCAAAACATGTTGTCTAATAAATCAGATTTGACTTGAATTAAAATTGAAAAAATGATCAGTTTTGCAAGGCTTCCTTTAAAATGAAACAAAATAAAAGGCTAGGTTCGACCGTATTGATGGGACAAAAAGATACATTACCAAAGACTTTAAGTGGCAGCGGTTAAAAGGTGTGAAAAGTATGCCTTCCTTTCAATCTTTTTCTTATTCTTTTTTTTTTTAATATTTAAGTTTCCTTTTCTTTAATTTCCATTTCTCTTCTTCTTCTATACTCCTTGTTAAACTTTTTGAACTTATTGAGGCAGCATTCCCACAATCTGCCGACATGGCTCAAACTTTTGCTTTTGGTGTTGGCTCCGAATAGTTGTGTGATTATTCGAAATGATGAAGCAGGTAATTTATTTTGATCCCCTGAGCATTATATAAATGTATATCTCTTATGTTGATAAACAAGTGAATAATCGCAGGCCTTTTATATTGATAATTACATGTAAAAAAAGAATGTATATCTGGTGTAGCTTTCTCATTCCTTCCATTTGTTATGATTTTGTTATGATTTACGATTTAAACTAATATTTCATTGATAACCATGACATTTACATCATACATGTACTTCGTTCAATATTTTAATTTTTTTTAATTGGTTACGTTAGGACCATATTTGGATAAATATTGTGGTAAACAAAATCAAATTCGGAACCATTCTTAAAGCTAGAGGGCGCTATGTAACAATCTGCCAGCTAGTTTAGCTTCAGCCATTTTTTTGTACAGGCAAAATGACGATGGAGAGCGATTTACCAAGGGCGGAAGCACACGAAAACTCAGTGAGAAATTAATATATTATAATAATTTGAGAAAATAATGTATGTTTTGTATACTTATGAAGTTAATATACTAATTTTAGAGAAAAATATTATGTGCAAGTGTGCAAAAATGAGTAGTATTGGTAGGCTAAAGTGCTGTAGCGAACGCTCTCTCCGCTAATCCCCGTGAAAGACCATGGGCGTGACCCCCAACGCTCTGCCTCCGACGCTCCCATGGCGCGGCATGCAATGAGGAGTGAGCTCAGTCACTCAGCTCAGCTCAACACAGTGCAATTCCGGAAAACAATAAACAAATCTGACTTTATGTGGGTTGGTCGTCAGTTAAATCGACTTCTCTTATACCTCCCTACCTCTTTAAACATTTTTAGTCTTTTATAATAGATCTAGGCTAGGCACATTCATGGGGCACTAGAGGGCGCTTCGCGCGCGTACGAAAATCTGAATGGCCTTGCTGCGGTGGGTCGGCAATAATCAGCCCAAAATTTGGATATGGAGAGGGTGGAAGGATATATCTATTTTATAATGTTATCTGGTCTTACCCCTAACCATCCTATGTTTAATCTAGGTAGAAATAACATGTGAGTACAAGAAGAGAAACATCGGGCCCATTACTGATGCAACTTTTTAAATATTAGCCTAGAAATGACCACCAAACGGAAAAAATTGACTTTTTTTTTTCTGACAAATCTTCATAAAATCTGAGTTATAAACATCTCACAACTAGGTACGGTAATACAAACACGATTTTCTGAAAATTCAGGTGTGATTTTTAAAGTTTCTTTCAAGTATATTTCTGCGCATCGCAGCGCCAATTTTCTTCACTGCTTCAAAATCACCCTTGAAATTTTTTTTTGCAACAAATTTGATACGAGGTCTGCGAGTGTTTCCCGTTCCTTGCGTGTTGAAAGTTTGGTAATACATAGTTTGCTTTGACTCATGCACGAAAAAATGGCTCGAAAACAAATGTCAAATGAAGAAATAAACAAGCTTTTGTATAGTTATAAGAGATCTACCGAGGTTTCTTTGTCGATTTAATTTATTATATAGTCTCAATTAGAATTCAGAATTATCTCACTGAAAAGTTAAGAAACCGACGATGTTCTCGATTGTAGTTATTTTCACTTTACCAGCAGACGATCTAGCGTTGTTTTGGCAAAAAGCTAGCCCGCCAACTTCCCACCTCAAACCTTTCGAGTTCCGCTAAAATGGCGCGCTGCGGAGCTCCGAAGGTGCGTTGGTATCGCTGGCAAACTCTCAGCCGGTTAGCTCCCCATGACGGACCATTCGCGGTATGGCGAGAGTGTGTGTGTGAAGTATGATTTTGGATTCGAGAACGCACGTAACGCAAGCGTGCGCGTCATTTTCAGCTGTCGAATGTCTACGACCAATTTTACATGTACGATTTTTAGTACAGATACATGGTCAGTTTTCTTGTTATGTCTTTGGTTTTACAACATTTAAAAATATAATTTCTTCAAATTTGCTCCTGAATTCGGATCAGACTAAATGTCTGATGTGTTTTCAAGTCAATTTTTTTAATATATTTTTTTGCATGGATTTGCCTATCTAGGCCTATAGTTTTTAGCGAGAATGTGTGCTGCAATTCTGTCCATCTTCCAAGATTGTTGCTGTTTTACTGTAGTATTTCTTGCTATCACCAATGCCCTGATGTTGATCTGTTGGACGTAATTTCAAACTACTTACATGCTTCCAGTGTATACGGTGGATGCATGTGGCGCGCGGATGTTACATGTAGTATTATGCATGTGCAATATCCATATCCGAAAGCTCTCGTCACGTCGGCTGCTACTGCCCTCCTTGGAGTTTTTTCAAAGTCCATGATTGTTCGGGAAGAAATATTTAGGGAATACCACTGCATGTCCATCATTATTTAATTATTCTTTGTCAAAATGCTGTGAACAAAGGTGCGATGTTGCAGTTATTTCAAACCTGTCCTGAGTTCTGAGCAATTTTTTCCATGCGATGTGTAGATTCGACTGTAGGTAGGGTGTCTGATCGCGCACCCGATGTTGTGTGCTAAAATTCTTCCCATAGACATTGCACGCATCCCTATGCAGTCTACATGCATTGCGCGACCATGCAAAATTGGTCAATTTTTTTTTCTTCAAATCGAGATTCAAACCTTTATTCTTTGTGATCCTGAATAAATGAGGTGCCATGTTAAAGAGCAGGTGAATTCCAATATTTCCAAAGGGGGGTCATCTCGGAATTCTAAAAATGTCTTGGTCAAAACAGCGATTTAAACATTGTGTCCTGGCTAACACCGAGGTTTGTCACTTTTGAGATATGACGCCCTGATCGTTAAGAAGTCCCAGTCCTAAGGAATATATCTATGCGCTTATTTTTTCGCTAGCCCCCAGGGATCACAACTGATTACAGTTTGAAAATACCCTTCCCCCTATTTGTTGGATCAGCTAATTAGGGAGGCATGCGCTCCGCTCAGTCCAAACCATGGGCACATTGCGTAACATTTCCGCGTACGAACAAAATAGTGAATGAAAGTATGGCTAGCCGTTCGCGCAATAAAACCCAGAAGTTAATACACATTATAGTCTCTGCGATATTGCTATTGACTATAACGTGTATTCACTTCCGGGTTTTATTGTGCGAACGGCTAGCCATACTAGGCAAATGGCAAATATCGCGGAGACAACATGGCTCAAGCTGCAAGTTGCGCATAACATGCGTACGCTATGCACATCGCGCGATACAGCTGTTTGGCTAAATTTAGCAAAACAACATAACTCTGCATGTACGTCTTTTTTCGTCGATTCTGACCAAAATGGTATGAATATTGCAGCGTTTTAGAGGGGCTGTATCTTTTGATAGAAACATCGGTGAGACTTGAAATTTGAAATGTATTATTCTGATTACATTTTTTGTTCAAATATCAAACAAAAATGGTGAAAAATGATTCCAAAGAGTGACCCAGAGTGCATTTGAAACCGGGTCATGAAGTCAACATCTGGGCATTTTGGGGTATTGGCGATAGTCGCAGAAAACTTTATCCAATGATTTATCCTAATTTAAATTGTTTTTCTTCTTCAAGACAGTTAACAATGTATTACTAACATAAATGATCTAATCTTTACCCTAGATTCTGGAAGAGTGCCAAATCAAGTTGCCTGATCAAAGCTCTTGATGAGAAGTAAACGACTGATTATGGCATCCATCCATCGTTTTCAGAATACCACCCGTTAATTTACTTCTGATGTGCTCTTTGTATTTATACATGTAGAGCATTCAATTCAAAGCAATATGAAAAGTAGAAATAGGTCTAAATTTACATGAGAGTAAATTCAATTTCTTTCTTTTTATAGGTTGGTCACCAAGATGATCAACAAGAGAGGAATAGACTGAGAAGTCTCAACCTTGCTGGTCATGTAGGCTTTGATAGTCTTCCTGACCAGCTGGTCAATAAGTCTGTCAATCAAGGATTCTCATTCAATATCCTCTGTGTAGGTGAGTAAATTCTATGGTTTGTTTTCTTCTTACATTACATTGTAGTTATTACTTTTATTATTATTATTATTATTATTATTATTATTAGTAGTAGTAGTAGTATTTATTGAGCAAAAAAGAAATAAATCATTGAATACAAAACAAGAGAACATTTGGAAAAGAGTCACATTGATGCCGGGAAAAGAAAAAGATTAACTAAATAATTGTAACCCAAAGGTCTTCTTTTCCAATCCATGTGACTTAACAGAAATGGTAACAATAAAATGCTGAGGTATAACAATTCATGAATCACTGTGTAATCAACAATACTAATCATTGACAAGATAAAATTGAAAACAAAAACAAATTTAATGTCTACTATTTCAGAAATAATTTTGGTTGACAATGAATTTTAGACTGTCACTAATTTTCAAACCTGTACAATAAAAAAAAAAATCTTCCCCTTCCCATTTAGGAGAGAGGGTGGTCCACAAGGACGTGTAGCATCAAACAAGTATTGATTGCACAGGTTTAAAAACCAGCGACAGGTTTCAATTTTGATCGTACAGGTTTGAAAATTCGTGACAGTCTAAAATTCATTCTCAACCAAAAATTGTTTCTGAAATAGTCGTCGTCGTTAAATTTATTTGAAAATAAATAAAAGCAGAAAAATGAAAGGAAAAGCTCAGTGAAATGTGATAAAAAACTGTAAATTTCCGTTTTCTCTGAAGTTCATGAAGAAATATTTTTTTCTTCTCAGAGAGGTTGCATAAAAGCGTACAGTGCTATAATTAAAACTAGGGTTCATGTATATGATGAAATATTGTCTTTAAATAAAATACAAAAATTAATATTTGTTTAATACAAAGCAAATGGGAGTTGACCTCAAAGGATATTTGTGCATTTATAAAAAGAATTACCAAGTTGTGTTTGATCAATTTAAACTTCAAATATTCATAGCTTTCTTGGATTCATTAAATTTAACAGTCACCTTCAGAAGTCTGTAAAATGACTATTAAACAAATGATGGTACATTGTATACTGCTACTTATGACTAATGACACATTAAATGTGTTTTGTGCCTTCAATAATGTTTAATTGATCAACAGAACAATGCAATATTTATTGTTGTTCAAACACTTTTGTATAGCCCACTTAAAAAAAGAATTAATTTATCACTTGATTGAAATATTGACAAAGTGCCAAGTACAACACTCTTACAAAGAATTTTTAATCATTTGCATGTTCAATGCTAGTTTACAGCATTCCAGTGATCATTCAACTCTGTTTACCCAAATCAGAACTACAAATGTGTGTTATGGTGGCTTTGTATGAAGTCTCTCATCCAGAAAGGTTTGCCCATAGAAAATGCGAACAATTGATGACTCCTTCTAAAGAATGTGGAAAATTGATAATACTGAAAAGACTGGACCCAGATTTTCTGGTTTACTGGTTTATGAAGTGTGTTCACAACAATGGGGATACAGGCATGAATGGAAGAACAAATTGATCACCACTCTAGAGTTTTCTGTATTTCCTAGCTCTGTGGACAATGTATATAAACTAGTTGTGGACTTGTGGTGACAAAACTTAAAAGGTGCATGTAAATGTAAATGTAAATGTAATGTGTCTGTATGTATGTTCATTGATTGTTAAGGTTAGTTCCCCATTTATTACACACATTAAGATAATGGGATATTTTCGTAAAATATTAAGAAAGTCAGGTAAGACATTTAATAATTACGGTAAAGGATTAACACATATATACATGTACAGTACATAGTGTACATGTACATGTACATGTGCATGCACTAAAAAGTAATATACATATTCCCTGTAAGAAGCCAGTTTTTATTTAAAAATCTGCACAAGAAAGTAACAGTCATTTGTTTTTAAAAAATGTGTAAAACCCACTGACACAAAATACCGGATATATGTTCATGAAATTGTGTAGTCATGCGTCAACAGTGCTCTCCATGATACACAGGTGGAAGTATTCTTTTCAAAGATGGCAAACAAATGCTATTCATGAAGCACTTTCATCACTTTGAAAGTGGCTGTTCTAAAATGTGCCAAGTTAGACCTCTCCATATAAAACCCATAGAAGTTTAGAGTCAACTTTTAGTGATGTTATATTCTTTTATCCAGAATGCTCTGAATAATAAATTTTCTTACTAGCAGAAAGTGCAAAAGTTGCTGGAAAATTTGAGTTGATTCTGTTGTTGTTCACGAACATTAAAAAACTAATCATAGAAAATACGCTACACAGAGTGAAATTTATAATTACTATATTTGTGTACAAAATGCCAATTTCTTGTTATTAGAAAGAAAAGAAAAAATTAATATACTTTTTATGTTTTCACTTTTCAAACTATCAAAAAGTGGAAAATACATATAATTGTTGACATTACATGTAGACCTTGAACCCCAAACTTCACTCGAAATTTGGGGTCATTTGCATTGTACCATGTGCTAGCTACAAATTGGTCTATTAAATATGCATAGATCTATCTTCATGGTATTGGCATTCATATAGTGAGTCATAATGGAAGGATGCTACATGTAGCAAGATAGAACGAAGAAGGGTTGAATATTCTTTCAAGTATCAGGTTTCAACCATGATAGAATCCACTTGAACTTGATTGAGATTATCACCTTCTGTGGAAAGCTAATCATCTGAACACACAAACACAGCTGTGGTTTACACTTTATAGATACACTGAACATATCCAAACTCAAGAATATACACAAATTCACTCCTTTTATGAAAATACATGTATGAATATTTGTGTGTGTGCCAATGTGGTGTGTGTTTAAGAGTTTCATACAAATGCCTTGTTCATAGACAAATATCATTATTTTCCTGAAATGCATGAGTAATTATCTCGTCAATCTTCTACATTTCCTCCACACCAATGCTGATCAGCTCCAAACTGTTTCCACCATTGTTGTAACTGATTTCTCAAAAGCTTTCGACTTAATAGTCAATCACAATATCGCAATAAATAAACTCTTCACAATGGGTGCTCGACCATCCCTGCTGCCATGGATCAGTAGCTTTCTTCATGGACGACAACAGATGACAAGATACAACGGAGTACTTTCATCTTCCCTTACTCCAGTTGGAGGTGTACCCCAGGGTACTCGCCTTGGGCCAGCAATTTTCCTAGCGTTGATTAATGACGCATTGACAGACGCAGCAGGTATATCCAGATGGAAATACGTCGATGACACAACCTTCGCAGAAAGCCGCAGACGAGGGTCATGCAACATGATGCCCTCCACCTTAACGCTGTTCCATCAATGGTGTTTGGATAACGGTCTTCGCATCAACTCGTCAAAGTGCAAATCGATGAGAGTGTCCTTCTCACGGACCGAACTTCCACCTTTGCATCTTGAGCTAGATGATACAACTCTGCAGGAAGTGAAAGAGCTCAAGCTTCTGGGTGTCATACTGCAGCATAACCTACGTTGGGACAGCCACGTTCGTGATATCACAGGAAGGGCATCGCGAAAATTCTACATTATTCGGGCCCTAAAGCGTTATCGCGCCCCTGTGGAAGATCTCCTCACAATTTACACGTGCTACATTCGACCTGTGCTTGAGTACTGTGTTCCAGTTTGGAATTCATCCATTACATCTGAACAGGCCAATGATATCGAGAGAGTCCAGAGGAGAGCCCTCCGTATCATTTTTCATGATCGATACCACAGCTATGAACATGCCCTCCAGATTTCAGGTCTGCAATCCCTCTCTGACAGAAGGGAACATCTGTGCCTAAGGTTCGCAGAATCGCTCTACAAGCACTTTCGCGACTGGCTTCCAGTGATGCAGAGCACGAATCGACGATTGAGACACAGTAATAGATTGAGAGACTTTAAATGCCGAACAGAAAGACTGAGACACAGCACTCTTCCTTACTTGGTAAGGACTCTGAACGAACATTTTTTCTGATGCCAATTATTTTGTATGCCTGATATTCATTTTGCTGTAATATAAAATGTAATACACTCCTTGTGGGGAGTATTTGCCAGTAATTGTGCAATAGGTATTTAATCATTGAATTTTTATATCAATATTTTCAATTATTTCATATCTAATTTAAAATGTATATTAATAGCATTGAATTTTAAAGAACGAGTAATACTTGAATATTAATGAATTAACACCGAACACCTAGTACTTAGCCAATAGGTATTTAATCATTGAATTTTTAAATCAATTTTTTCAATTATTTCATATTCAATTGTGATTTAAAATGTATAGTAATAGCATTGAATTTTAAAGAACGAGTAATACTTGAATATTAATGAATTCACACCGAACACCTAGTATTTAGCCAGTGCAATATGTTTATTTTATTTTTTTTTATTATCAACAAATTTCAATATTCTTCGCGAATTTGCAATGTAATTCACTTTATTTCTTAATCCATCATGAAATCCAATTTCAAGATTTCCAATATGTTTTACCAATGACAAAAAATCAACCCTTCGGCATGCCATATTCGTAATAGTAATGGTTTTAATGATTAATTTCAATAGTATATTTTTAGAATGTTTCAGTTAAGAATTTCATGCTTATTATTTGAAATTAATGATAGTTGCCATTATAATTGTCATTTGATCACTTTTATTTGTATTTCAATGTTGATTACCTAGACTGTTTTAATATATTATTGTATAATTGCTTTTATCATGTACATTGTAAACTTTTGTAACCATTGCAATTCAGTCTTTGGACTGCGAGAATGGATAATTATCAATAAAATCCTTCAATCAATCAATCAATTGGTCATAAGGAATATTGTAAATGGTTTAATACTGACAGGTATACTTGAAATTCAAAGTAGTAATTCTGAACTTTTGATTCATAAAGTCTTCTTACTATCTTTCAGGGTTATTATGAGAAGGGAGGAAGGATGAATGGTGTTTTTTCGGGATGGGTCAGGGAAGATATGCCACCTCCTATTCCCCTATGAATGTTGATTATTATTATCTAAATTAAAGAGACAGAGCTCTAGTAAATATAAACAAGCAAGACAGCAAACAAGCAGACAAATAACCAAAACTAACATAAATATTGGTCACTTGAAGTTTTGAACTGTAGTAAAATATAAGGAGCCCCCTTTAATACAGAAAGTGATTTTACACTGCTGGAGAGAGGTACATGTATACAATGTATGTTGTATTATGAATTTACTGAATAGGTGTAAGGAGGCCTACTCATAACATATGAAAGAGGTCATAGCCAGAATGGTGTTAAAATTCATTATGATTGGTGTGAGCTTTAAGGAAGGGGACATATAAAAATACAGTATTCACAATCACACATGATCAGAGAGAGTTTATGAAGTGTCCTGTAAGAATCTTCTTTTCCCTTTTCCTCTCCATATCATATTAGCTTTACTGCTCTAATATAGAGAGACATACATTTATCTATGTCATTTTCTCTTGAGTAATTAATGGTCTTTATGCACACTCCTTATGGGGTTATGGGAGTGTGTGAGTGTGTATCATGCCAGGGTCAACTCATGATAGGTTAAGTATTGTTTCATTTTATAGTTTCAAATGGTCATCAAATTAATTGAAGAACCATAGTCTAGAAGTTCAGACTCTTCCTTGCTTGAAAATTATAGTACAAAATGGCTGAACACTTGGAGTAAAGGCTACCCTATTTTGTTTCCCCGTTATTCTTATCCAGAGCAGGCTGTGAAGTATCAAAAGCAAAAATAGCCCTTTTAGTCTTCATCTAGACTTACTAATGAGTATCACATGTTATAATAAAAGTGTTTGGATTTTGCAGACTATTTATAAAGGGGTTGGCATTGAAAAAGGGACAAAATCCCTGTTTCCCACTATTTTGCTGAAAAATAATGCCGGTGATTCACAATTTCGTCAATACTGTTTTGCCCTATTTCCTTTTAATTCCCCAGTTGATAATAATTTCCTAAGTTTAAATTCAATAGATTGTGGTTTTAAGGAAACTTTCATTTTCATAATGCATGTGTTAAAGGTGTAGGGCCTACATTGTAGATGTACATGTACATGATGATGTAGACTTTGCCTACTGTAAACAATATATATATATATATATATATATATATAGTATAGACAATTCCTTCTTCAGTTTTATATTTCACATAAATATGTTATATTTAAAAAAAATGGATGATTAGAAAAATACTCTTCCCCCCCCCCCCCCCCCCAAAAAAAAAGGGAAAAAAGAAGTACCTGGTAATGCCTCAACCGTATAAATGCACATAATTTTTAGTGCAACACTTTTCTGCACTTGCATACATAATGTTCGCCTTACAGACTAATGTGTACATGTAGAAAGTGAAACAGCTCTTAAATTAAAGGGGCCATTCACACATTCTACATATTATTATGGCATTGTGCTTTTTGTATCGCCACTGTCCATAGGCTCACTATGTATGTACTGTACATGTAATTGACAATGGTGTAATTATAGAGCGTGTCTATGAAATATTTTAAACATATAGTTAAAGGATTATATTTTTCTTTTGCATGATAGGTGAGACTGGTCTTGGCAAGTCAACGTTAATGGACACCTTGTTTAACACAGAGTTTGAGAATGTACAAGCAACCCATACACTGCCCGGTGTGGAACTCAAGGCTAATACATATGGTAAGAGGAAATGTTTGTCACATTGATCAATCAAATTATTAAAGCCATTCTGTACTAGAAGCTCTGCCATCGTGTCATCTGAGGTCAGCTGTGCAGCAGTATGGTCTCATAGTTTGTTCTCGCATCAAGTCCTAGGTCTGCAAAGTGGGAATTGAGTATGAGGTTAAGTACTGTCGGCAAGTTGACCATGAGATGGCGCTGTGCAATAAACAGAACGCTAGGGCAGAAAGTTTGTTCGGTATCGCTTTAAAAGACACGGTATTGGTTCTAGGGATACAAGCTGTTTTTATAGTATTATAGACTAAAGTTTAATTGCATGTTTGTCATTAAAGTCAAACATTTGGCTGTAATGATGATAAATCCATCTCTTATCCATTACTGGTATCTGTCTTAAACCTCTCAATATATACTTGTATATGATTTATTATGTATTACTTCTGTAAGGGTTTGATCAGGGTGTACATATGATGGAATATTTCTCAAATGATGTGGCGTTACTATGAGATTGATTGAATTGAATATCATTATCCAGATTCCATTTGAAATGCTCTATAAATGGCCTCATGCGCACAAATGCAGGAAGTTCATGTCTGACAATTTTTTCCTTCCAGTTGTTTATCTTTGAATATCTGTTTCCTTACCGACTATATTTTGGAACTTGTCAAAGGTGAATGTGTGGTTCATGATGTGTTCTGTCATGAATGCATACATTAGTAAAGTACCTACAGAGGAAGGAAACTGGAGAAGAGAATGGCATGTTTATTGCTGATCTATACAAGGAAATCATTGTCAAGTTTTCATTTCCATTCAATGATAAGGGGAAAAATAAAATCAGTTACAGTACTTTATTCCCTGCGCTACTTATTATTCTATTCAATGTGGGCACATATGAGATACGTAAGGGTTAGATGATTATATTCTTCTGCCCCTCCCCCCCCCCCCCCCCAAAGAGAAAAAAAAAGGTCCTGTTTAAAATAGTGAAATTCTGCATCGGGTATTTATGAAATATGTACTGTCTGCGATGCTAAAGATATTGAATTATTGCCTTCAAGTGTAGCCCTGATACATTCCTATTCATGTTCTAGTCATTTGAAGATGATTTGTTATCTTGTCCTTACAGAGCTGCAGGAATCTACCGTTAGACTGAAGCTGACCATTGTTAATACTGTAGGGTTTGGTGATCAGATCAACAAGGATGAAAGGTAGGGCATCAATCTTGTCGTTACACTTTACAAACATAACATTTCAAAATGACAAATCACTGGTTAAAAATAAAAACAACCAATCAGTAGTGTACCAGAATAGATTTTCTTGTTGAAATGTATCTTCCATAATGGTAAGTTTGATACAAATAATTGTTACCTTTATTTTTCTAATTTTAGTATTGTTTATCATTTATTGTGAACGTGTATTTTAATTGATGATTAAACAAAGATATTGTTGTCACGCTTGACATGTATGCAAAGATGATAGGTTCTTGTGGCATCACGTTCATACTTCCTACATTGCCCTTTCTTCTTACAATCACAAACACACCTGGTACCACTTTTACTATCTGCTTCCTTCATGGCTGTTTTGATGACAAAGGGCTGTATACAGCACTGTTTGAATCAATGCACACTGATCGCTTAAGCAAATGTTTTCTGCCATTCATATGAGGTGGATACTTTGCTAGGGAAAGAGATTCATGCACACACGTGGTTACAAAATTCATTTCAAAGACTAATTTAGACCTAAAAATCAGCTACACTAAAATCATGCATGATGAAAGTATATGTAAATTGTAATTATGAACACTACAGCTTCACTTTAAAACATCGGTAAATGTTCTTTTGAACAGGAAAATACATACCTGTATTAAAACAGATAGCATTACTCCATTTCTCCTTTATTACCCCCAGTTACAAGTCCATCGTGGAGTACATTGACAGTCAGTTTGAGAACTACCTCCAAGAAGAACTGAAGATCAAGAGAGCGTTTCATATGTACCATGATACTCGTATCCATGCATGTCTCTACTTCATTGCTCCTACCGGTCATTCTCTCAAATCACTTGACCTGGTCACCATGAAGAAGCTTGATAGTAAGGTCAACATCATCCCGGTCATCGCTAAGGCTGATACCGTCTCAAAGAGTGAACTTCATCGCTTCAAAATCAAGGTCAGTATTATTAGTCTGTAATTCTGTTCAAATAAATCTGTATCAATCTATTCTACATTGTAACTTCTTATGATTATTTCTATTAGTAAATCCATTTTTTAAATTCATACCAGTGGAAAAAGTTTTCATATGTAATTTTAATTTTAAACACTAACATGTTTTAATTTTGTTTGAAATATCTTAAGAAAAGACTATGTTAAGAGTGTGCCGATTTTTTATTTCATCTTTTTGTATTTGTTAAACTATTCTTTAATCACAGCTAAACATGGGTTGTCGAATGAAGACTGCATGAAATATCAATTTACCTTCCTTAGGAAAAATACAGCAACTATTTGTATATCCCATTTATCGTGAGAAAATCTATGCCTTCCCAAGTTACATGAGATATCTGAGATGCAAATCTCATTGATTTTGTTACAATTTTATATGTACTTCTCTCTTTTCTCCCTTTCATTTTGATCATTTATTCTCATCTGTGCTTTATCAAAATATCTTAATTGATTTATTCTCACTATCTTATGTACCTTAGATCATGAGTGAGCTTGTAAGCAATGGAGTACAAATCTACCAATTCCCTACTGATGATGAAACCGTAGCAGATCTCAACTCAACCATGAATGTAAGATATACAGCTTGGTGAATAGATCTTAAAACAGAATTAGACTTGTATTTCTTTCCCTTCCACCTCCTAAGACATTTTTATTATAATTTGTTATTCTGTGACTGATCATTGAATAAATTTCACTTATTTAGAATTGAAATAGCACAATAAAACATAAACAATATATTGGAATAAAAGTAATATGGATTGTAGTTTGTGATCATATTGTAAAAAAAAGGTATTTGACTCAAAGATGCCTATTTATATAAGTGATCTTACACATGCTCCACATTTGCTTCCTGTTTTATTTCGTCACAGATATAATACTCTGGTTGGGGTTTCAAGTTTAGGTTATGATATGATTAAGGTTAGGGTTACCCCAAGATCTATTGTTCAGTCCAGGAGGTTGGGAATTTAGTTGGTGTTAAAATTGACATTGGAGTAATAAGAAACAAATTTGTTGCATGGTGATTACAGTCAATTTTATTCTAGACTTTTTTTTTTGAACTACTTTTCATTCAGTGTTGTGTAGACTAATGATTGTGATATTACTATCTTATTTCAGGGCCACCTTCCATTTGCTGTAGTAGGAAGTACAGAGGAGGTTAAGATGGGTAATAAGATGGTGAGAGCAAGGCAGTATCCATGGGGTATTGTACAAGGTAGGTCACTCATATTCATTGTAAAAGATTTGTTGCTTTAAAAGTATTAGTAGTTTCTTGTTGATTTTTACGTATTTAGTCATATAATGAATCTTTAAAGCTCATACAAGAATAATAAGAGTCATAACAGAAAAGTGTGATCTTGAACATCTTATCAATAAAGACATCTTCGAGAAAGACATTTACTTGAAATCCACTGTTTGATAGGACAATATAGTATTAAACAAGGAAAGCAAGTATGCAGGGGAATTTAAATAGTATCCAGTGATCTTTATATTTATTTCACATCTCATTTGATTGATACCTGACTGAAAAAAAATTACCATTACAACCATTTACTATTGAGAGTATCATATTTTGTTGTTGAGAAATCTTACATTTTGGGAGGGGGTGGGGGATGCCAAAAGTGTCTATGGACCTTGTTATATCTCTTTGATGTTATTGATTTATAATGATAGAAATGATTGTTTGCATTTCTTGTACACAGTTGAGAATGAGAACCATTGTGACTTTGTAAAGCTCCGTGAGATGTTGATAAGAACTAACATGGAAGACCTGATTGAGCAGACACATACCCGTCACTATGAGCTCTACAGACGATGTAAGCTAGAGGAGATGGGCTTCGTAGATACTGCTGCTGATAATAAACCAATGAGGTAGGTAAACCTGTCATACAACATTCTAGATAAGATCAGACCTGCTTGTTAGATTGGCCAAGTGAATATTTAGTAATCCGTGAACCAGCCTTATAAGCCTATAAAATACACATTTCTGTATGCTGTTGAATTCATTAGATATTCTGTTATTTAATATGTCATTATTTTCTTTAGTATGTACTTTATATAAATTTGGACGCTGCTAGGCATTTACATTGAGTATGCAGCTCACTTTCATAGGACACACAGTTATACTGAATATGAAATCAAATGTATTTAATAGCAAAGAGATATTGCATTCAAATATTATTTCAGTAGATATTAATTTAAAATGTTGAATAGATAGGTCAAAGCATGCGTATGCACTGGCATAATCTTTAATAAAAAAAAAGCTATTAGCCTATACATTTTCAGGTTGATTTTTCACTTTCTAGCCAAACAATATTTTCTTCTTCAGGTGATTGGTACACTTTAAGGTAAGAAGGCTGGAGTAATTAAATCTTTTAATCTGTTAATATTCCTATCCCAGCTTACAGCAGACATACGAGCTGAAGAGAGAGGAGCATGTCAAAGCACTTCAGGTCAAAGAAGATAAGATGAGACAGGTGTTTGTAGAACGTGTCAAGGTCAAGGAAGCACAACTCAAGACAATGGAGAAAGAGGTAAGGAAAACAACCTGTAAGGCCTATTCAGATATGAAGTGGTCAATTGCAGCGTTTTGTTGCTTACAACGTGTTAAAGGGAAAGTCCACCCCCAAAATAAGTTTGTTTCGATAGAGGCAGAATAATAAGAAAATCAGGTGAGTGAAAGTTTGAGCAAATTCTGAATGAAAATAAGAAAGTTATGAATTATTGAAGTTGTGATCAATCAAATACAAATTGGCAACTCTGTGACTTATTATACAAGCTCTCCTTCATTTGCTTTGTGCATAATATTCCATAAAATCATGTTTTCTTCGTTATTGATGACGGAATATATATTTGTTCCTTGCAGGGGGAGTATAGAAACATATTTGCAATTATTATATTTAGGGTGCATGTATGGTTGAAATTTTTCTTGAGGGAAAATGAAAATTTTAGATTTTTTTAGTACTGAACAAATGGAAGTTGAGCTCGCATGATACGTCATAGAGTTGCCAATTTGTGTTTGATTGATCACAACTTCAAAAATCCTAACTTCCTTATTTTTAATCGGAATTTGCTCAAACTTTCACTGACTTGTTTCTCTCATTTTTCTACTCCTATTAAAACTAACTTAATTTCAGGGTGGACTTCCCCTTTAATGGTCGTGTACACGTGCAACAAAGGTCCTACACATATTCACTGGTCTCTGTGTTAAAATATACAAAAATGCATGTTAAATGTTGTATGCTTACTTCATTAAAAAATTGCTGCTGTTTATCGCTTTACATCTCAATGATGCTTTAAAATCACCGATCAAATTCATCATCATTTCAAAGGTTACCTTGAATATTACTTACTTTACTAGTATAAGTTTTGATACAAAACCTGGGAATAATCACATTTTTAGGGGAGGGTGTATTTTGTACATTTTGGTTCAGAGCTTCTGATAAATGTATTGAATTTTTGTTTGTAAATAGAAATGAAAACTATTATTGATGCACTGGTCTACTTGATTAGTTGTAAAGTGAGGCTACCTTAACCCCAATCATGAATATGAATAAATCTAATGTCCATGTCAATAAGCTACAGTTAAATTAACTTTTTAACTAAAATTAGTTCAGAACAAAGTGTAACACTCTTTCTAACCAATAACCAAACTCTCTAAAATCATCTCTGTCTTTTGTCATTGCTAGCTCCATACATGTAAATGGTTTGCCAAGATGAAGAAGGAACTCTATTTAATACCATCTCTGTCTTTTGTCATTTCTAGCTCCATGAACGGTTTGATAAGGTGAAGAAGGAGTATGCCGATGAGAAGAAGAAGCTAGATGAACAACGTCGTCTCCTGAGTGAAGAGATCAACCTGTTCAATCAGAAGAAACAACAAGCTGCTGAAGATGCAGCTCTTCATGCTTCACAAACACTCCCCGGTAAGGGAAAGAAGAAGTGAGATCATACCAAGCAGCTTCCATATGAATGGCTACGGGCGATAACCAAACAAAATTGTTATATTCTGGAGAGTAATGGGTTAGGGCATGTTTTGAACAAAGAGGTCTTACATAAGTGGCCGAGGTTCGATTAAGAACTTAAATATATGCGATAGGAACCGAGATAATAATAATGATAACTGGATTTAAAGGAGGCTCTAGAAAATTAGGATATGTTTGGAATTTATTAATCAACCATATACAACTCTGTTTACAATGACTTGTTCAAGAAAGTTTGAATAAAGGGATAGATAACAGATCAAACAAACTTTAGGTGTATTTTGGTAACATTAGATATGCCAGAAACTGCACAATGAATGATAGCTGAGCAATTCTACAACACCACTCTTAGGGATACTAAACATGTTTGTAAAACAAGGGTAAATTCTTTCTATATTCTATATTCTAAATAAATGGATTAAGGGAGTAAAATCCAAGATGATGGACCAAGCCTTTGTTCTGAATGTTATATACAAGATTTTGTATTTAGATACTTGACTGATATATATCATACAATCAAGACTGATTTATGTAGTATTAGAGGTAGTACATGGTTGTATAGGGTTTGTTTACTGTACATAAAGTGTATGGAAAGTGAGAGATCATTTTTTTCACTACTAGTATATGCAATTTAATGTACAAGATAGAAAATAGATTTTAAAAACAATCAGAGATAAAATATATTTTCTGGAAATTTAATTGTTAAGGGAATTTTTCTAGTAGGTCTTTTTTGTGCACTTATCTTATGATGTCAACAAGAGGGAAATGATGAGAAATTGTATTAGGATTAAAATATTCTTGTAATATTGACGTCGAAACTAAGAACACAGATACCATAGATGTACATGTCTGTGAATTACCACAATTTTCTAGAATGTTTTTAAATATAGCAATTAAAATATCTGTTGTTAATGCCCATATCTAACTCTGCACAGAGTATGAGCAGTACATATAAGCAGACATTTCCAGAAAAACTGAAGGAATGGGAATAATTGTTATCTTCTTAAAACCTTAGTACCATCAGCTGCCTTACAATGTGAATATAACAAATTGGATATCATAGTGGTATGCATGTTGCCTGGCTGGAATGCTCCCCAGGGAGTGGAGAATGTGCATACATTGTGTGCGGGTAAGCCTGAATCCAATGACAGGGGTAATGATATATATCTGTAAAGCACTTTGATAGGGACTTCGGTCCGGAAAAGCGCTATATAAGAACTAGCTATTATTATTATTATTACAAAGACTACAATTTATTATTTTCCCACCAAAGCATGTATTATTACATGCAGTAGAGCTGCACTGACATGTAATTCATGACCATTATCATGTATTGATCTTTTAATCCTCAAGCAGTGTTTTGAATATTTCATTGTAAGTTTATGTATTTCCTAACCGTTGTCATTACTAACAATCATATATAATGTAGTATACTTTAGAAACCTATGTCCAAACTAAAACTAAACACAGTTTGAAATCAAAGTAAGTTGAGAGGAAATGATTGTATAGAAAGAGTAGTGAAAGTTAGTGAAAAGCAAGAATTATATCAGGAATTAAGGTTTGCATGGAAGTAGAAGGAAACATGTGAATACATACATTAATTTGTAAAGAATGCAATTTTTAGATCTTCCATTTTTATTGTTTCTAAAAGCTGAATGTATAATAATATTTGCTTCATCATTGAATATCACCATTTCATAGAACATTTTTTGGCAATTAAAAAACTTGTTTCAGTTTTATTTTTAGTGGTGCTATGAAAACAAAATAACATGTCCATTAAAATAGAACCAAAAAGCAGCCAGAAGTTGATAAAAAAAAAGGTTTGTGAAGGCATATGTATTACTGTGTCACTAATGTATATATTATCTTCCTTTTTTTAGTTTTAGCTCATGTATTTATGTCATTTATGCTACGTTTACTTTTTAAAATCTTATTATGCAAGTATTTATTTTCTTTCTAAGCTTATATTAAATATCATGTTGGGTCATTGTTTCCTGTTTATATTGGTGATTAAGATCAACTTCTTTGAAAGGACAATTTTTATATGGAAAAAAAATGTTATTCACATCAATCGAAAAATAATTAGCTGCTGGTAGTAAAGGATTATTAATGGCAGAAACAAAGAAGTCCCAAAAAAAGTCTGAAGAACCTGAAATACCCATGATGCATTGGCCAAAAAAAAAAATCATATTTATTTTTGATTTACCAACAAATACAATGTTTGTACGTTGGAAATAAGTGTAGAATAGAAAATTGTATTAACTCCTTTTGTTTTCAATATAACAAAACAATGTTTGTATGCTGCTTCTGTGAATAGCATGCAGCAAAATATTTATGAATAAAACATAATGACAAGTTCCTATTTATCACGCTTCATTTTCTTGTTTTGATTCTTAGAAATAATCCAAACTTCTTAGTTTCTATCAGTTATCTGTACTGCATTTTCTAATGGTTCAGAATTCACAGGTTTGTTGTTTAATGAATCCCGAGGAAATTGATATTCAAAAGCAAATGACATCGACTCTCTGAAACAAAAACATATATTTTAAAAGAAATATCTCAAAATGTTGAATTCTCATGGTGCAGCAGATATTGAAACTTGGCCCCTCCTCTGCAAATCATAACACCTGGGGGAAGTCTCAATTGTCGATGCATTTGCATCCAAAAATTTGCAATAAGTTCATTTTTAAGTAAGCAGAACACATGAAATAAAAGAAACAGAATGGTAAAAGTTTGAAATAAATCGGACCAATAGTAAGAGAGATATGAATGTTTGAAATATGAGATTGCTAACATCTATGGGAATAGATGCTCAGTGGATGGTGACTTATGCATATAAAACTCTCCCGGATATCAGTACTAATATCTCTTATTTTCCTCAAAATATATCATGGATAGCATATACATGTAGGTCCTCTAAAAAGAGAAGACCTCATTGCATGCATTGAAAAATTGACAATTTGGTCATTCTGTGTGTTTGAAACAAATGAGAAAGTTTGGCAGTCTGATTCAGCCAATTTGAAATGCCTCTATGTATTTCTTATTGTTTGTCTAATTTCACTGATTCAAAATAACACCCGTCTGCTTCTCCAATTTTTCTGCCCTCCTTTGGAGTAGATGTCTATAAAGATTGAATATTCTTTGAAATAGATTGCGGTACTTGGGGTTACATACCATAATGATTGCAATACTGATGACCTACATCTATACACAACAAAAACAAGCTTGCAGAGACTCTGAAGAGCATGTTTTCACAGTACTGCTTTATTCTACATATACACACACACACACATACACTATGAATAGAGATATCTTACAGATCTTAAATAGGTAATCTTGCATATTTACAGAAACACAAACCAAAACACTTTTCCTTCATACTTTTACATGACAACTCGTAAGCCTGACTAAAAGAAAACTTCTATTTGAGGCCTGTCTTTTTTTTGTGGACAGCAGTCAAATGCATATCTTCATATCATATCTTCTGTATCTAATTGTAATTTGACTTTTAAGAGGTCTTATGGTGAAAAACGCTAAATGAGACGCTAAGTATTAATTCATCCTACGAATGAAAAGTTGTATGACAAGGCTAGGACCTCGCAACACAAAGATTTGCAATCAATTGCGAATTCGAAACAATGATTCAGACTGGTTTATGGTCAGCCTTTTGAAGAATATGTGCGTGCAACAATGATTTTGATTGGCCATTGTCATTTTGCTGTTGATTGTAACTTGTGTGTTAGAGGACCCAGGTATACATTGCTGTATTATACAATTAATCACGAACCCTTATTACTAGATTGGTTGATAAAACCATGCCGTTTCACAAACAAACACAAGACCTTCCATTTTAGCCTTGCATCGACTGAAACAAACTGAGAAACATTGACGCTTTGGCGAAGCGCGGAAGCTTTGAAAGAAGACGATTCGTTGTACCTTTCTCGACTCATAATCCTTGTCTGAATTCAGTCCCTCCCCTCTCTCGCGCGAAGCTTTGACGTTTCATTAAATTATTAGTCAGAGAAAGAAGACGACCGTTCTCGACTCCTTTTCCCTTTTTCTTCCTACGTCCTCTTTCTTTTTTTTCTTCTCTTTCTCTCCTTTTTTTTTTTGGCCGGCGTTTTGGGGGGGGCGACTGCCCCCACCGCCCCCCCCTGGCTACGCGCCTGCTCTCAGCTCTCCAAACCTGCTTTGATATAACAATGAAACATATAGAATTTATGTCTTTATTACATGGTTTAACAGGACTATTATGTCAACCCCTCTTTTGTTGTATATATTCCTGACTTCCCTGAAGTTAATTCAGTCACATTCGTAGTACTACATGAATTTTTATATTAATTCCAGTACAACTTTACCGGTGCTATCTCAGTGTTTGGTAATGTATGATACAGATGGCTTCTAGGCAAATTCATCTTCTCAGCAAAGCTTCAATCTGTCAAAACAACTACACTGAATGTATGCATCAGGAATACACATATCTAACAATGAGCATAAAAAAGCTCTGAAATATTCAGTTGGTGCAATGCATTTTCAAATATAAAGATATGCTATGGTTGCATATGTACAATCCATATAAGCATATTAAGTGAAAACCCTACATGTATTTTGTTTCCGTTCATTTTGATGATATTATCTTTGATAAGGTTTATACAAATTAGTTATACAAAGTGCGCCAGTGAATCTCATATTCTCTTGGTGGCTTTGCCAACCTTATACTAGCAATATGAATTGCCAGATCAGTCTACAAAACACAAGTTGTGTTTCTTGCAAAACTGATTACATTTTCTTAATATGGCAGCTTTATTCAAATCAGTTAGAATTTCACATCAATCCATAAAGGACCCTCTCATTAAAAAGCTCTGTTACATTCCCATAGTTCAACTCACTTATGTGCTTAAAAATCACAATTTGAATGAGAAAGATAACTCAAAGCAAGAATCCTGCAGATCATACTCCCCCAGCTTCAAAGAAACCAATCAGGTTTTCAAGCTCATAGTTATCCAAGACTTCCAGAAGCTGAGGCACTTTAGTCTTGACATTTGACCCCTTGAACTTGAACTTATCAATGAAGAGATCAGTGATCATCCCTGTAAAGACAATCATACACCAATACAACAAATTAGTTAACAAAAATTGTATGTCAATGTCATTCATCTTAAATATTTATATAAAAAAATGCATTTATTACCAAAATAATTTCTTAATCTAAACTATCTAATGTAACATAAAAGTTGGATTGATTGATAGAAAGTTCAAAATTAGCTTTATATAGACACCAAAACTGTCACACAGGTAAATAATTTTGGATGTGTAGTAGAAATCCCTTTCAAATTATCCAAATGATCCTGATGAAAGAGTTCAGCAATATTCAAGTACTATTATAGTTGATATAAGCACAGCTTTGTTATCACTATTCATAACAGTCAAAGGATACATTGTGATAATGGGACAACACTTACCATAGAGTCTTTCCAGATGACATGGCTGTTTCTTGTATTCCTGCTGGAGCGTATCAGCCTCCTCCAGGATCTGACGATATTCAGGAGACATAAACTCCAAATCTCCTTCATGGATCTGTAGCTCCTGCGTCGCAATAAGAAACAATACAAGTTTCCTTTTAATACAACACATCACTGCTATTAAACAAATCAATACCCCTGGATACATTAAGGCTTATGTATCATTACATTACCCCATCCTCAGATTCATTAATGCATGCAATGAGTGCACCTTCTCCACTCCCTGGGGAGTATTCATGCCATATGGAAAATGAAAGAATATAGTTTAATACTTGAAGTTGAAGTTTATTTGTATTTATTTTGTATTTATATGTAACAAAAAATAATGGGTAGATAACTTAAAAGGAGAACAGTGAATAGCATGGTGTTTGGAGAGAAGTGTAGATATGACAGACAATATAAAACTAATGTAAAAAATTAGGAGTTTACATAAAAAGCAAAGCTTACAAGATCATGCAGGCTCCTGATGAATTGATGGGATATTACTCAACATATATGTAAGCATGCTATGATCTACACTTATAGCTCTACATTTAATGATCAATAATAGGAGTTCCGATTAAGGAAGATTTGATATACATGTACATGATAACTTTAAAAAAATAGATTTCTTTCTTAACAGCTATAGTATCATCATCATCATCATTATCATATCATCACCATCATCATCATCATCATCATCATCATCATCATAATCATCATCATATCATCACCATCATATCATCATCATCATCATCATCATCATCATCATCATCATATCATCACCATCATATCATCATCATCATCATCATCATCGTCGTTGTCATCATCATCATTATTATTATTATCATTATCATGTTAGGACTAGTTCATGCCTGTCAAACTCACCTTGAGTGCATCAACCAGCTGGACTTTCTTAGCAAGTAGCAGCTGGTACTCAAGCTTAGGATGAATCCGTCTTAGAGTATTAGCTACCGACTCATCAGCTAGGTCATAAGAGATGTTGAGATTAATCTTTCTCTTGGTAGCTTCCTTGCTAAGGACATCCTTCAATATCGAGATGGTTGAGATATTGTCTGATCGAAACACACCTTCTCCTTTCCTACAAGAGGTCAAAGGTCATTGCAAAATATTTCATGTTGGTGAAAACGGGAGACAAAGCTATACATTGATGCAAACAGGAAGATGATTAGTAAAATGCAATAAAGATGTATATTCTCATGTTTGGGCATCTTCGAGATCCAACATTGAAGGGGTTCCACATCTTATAAGATACATCATACATTCATGTCCTATGTACAAAGACTTGTGTATCAGTATTATGCAGAATATTCCAAGTGGGAAATAATTTCTTCACAATAAAAAAAAATTGCTATTGTTGTGTCTGCAAAATAACACCGGGAGCAATAGTTTACTTTGTTTTAAATGATACCTCTCGACTATATGTCAACATGGCAAATCTGTTTAAAATTTATTCTTAAATCTATAAATCGAAAATTGTATTATATTGGTCTGATTTATTTCAAACTTTTGCTATCTCTTTTTCTTGTTTTTATTGCTTTCATACAGATGTACTCATTACAAAAGTTTTGTCCTTTAACTAAAACCTGAACAAGCAGCGATTTGAATACTCACTTGTAGAGACAATCTAGTTGCGTATCCAGGAATGTAGAGAGGAAATGAAAGTTGATGGAGTCTCCTGGGGGTGTCCTCTCTGGAATCTCAGGTAAACAATAAGACACCCAGGAATGAATCTCGGCTAGACTGAACTGACCGGTCAGCTTCAACTGATTCATGGGCCTATAAGAATGATAATAATATTATCATTAGTTGATCGAATCATAAATAAGAAGATTTTTTATATTAATCCCACATGTTGGTGTCATCTGACCATGAATTATTCAAACATGGTTGAAACCAGGTCACTCTGCAGTATCAATTTATCAATAGTTTTGTGTGTAATCACAGATCTTTGACTTGCTTTCTATCTCTGTAATGAGAGTCTCTATTCTATGATGGGGTATACCTTACCTAGAGTCATCCAGCATGTGTGTACGTTGATGAAGTGAGAGTGGCTTGATTTGGTACTGTCTGAGTTGACATGTCTTGGGCTGTAGCCTAGGTGTGATATAAGCTTGTAAGGTTCCATATTGACCCTCGATGCTACGGATCTTCAACTCAAGTCTTGTTGTATTGGCCTGGCAGCGGTAGGTAGCTAGTAAAAAGTTCCCATTCTATTGTAAAGAGAAGGAGAGAGAAGGACAATGAAAGGGTTGGCACAGAAGTCAAACGTTAACTATATAATCAATTGAAATTATTGATCAAATTTAAATATAGAACTTTGCAAACAATGTTATTCTCTAAGATTATTAATCTATCAAAAATAATATTGCTGAAAAATATTCAAATGTATAATGTCCCCAACATTTGATAAACTTTGATAGATATCAACCCAGGTAAAAAAAGAATTCTTAAAAACTTTAAATTATTGATACTTCCTTTAATAGCTATAAACTGTAGGTAGGAACACCTACTTCTGTTTCTCAATTCTGCCTGCTCTAAGTTTTATCATCATTCAATGAAATAGTGAATTTTCAATGTAAATCAACTGACCTCCATTACTAATAAAGGAATGTCCGAATATGAAATATATCTCGACCATGTCAGGTCTAAATAGGTACAGAAATAAACATGAACTTTAAAAGCCCAAATTGCCACTGATCATACAGTGTAGGTGTTTTGACAAACTTTTTGTGTCATTTTGCTAGTCTTTACAAATTTAACATCCAACCGTACCAGAAGCCCAAACCGGAAGGTTTCCAGTACCCGTCTTGGTTTGACTCCCATCACTAATTGACAGAATCTTGAAAGTATTACCTCAGTATCACAAGCACTGTAGCTGACTACAGCTGTGTTCTTCTCTGTATCCAGTAGATCAATAGGAACATCACTCTGAAGAAGAATATTGTCAATAGCAACCTGGACTTCAATACTGAGTGTATAGCTGGCATCATCTCGATTGAGTGAGAAACGATCATTGATGTTAAACTGAGGGACAGCTGAGATGGCCTTGGTATTCATGGCTTGGTAATGATACTTCTCTCTCTCCTGCATCACCTTACTCTGAAGTGATTCTAACTCACTCCTGTAGGGAAAATACAAGGACAGGAGATAATTCATAGATAGTCAAAGCCAACGGACAATAGACAGTATTATGCAAATTTTTCTTCAGATATGAAGGAAAATCATATCATAACTTAAAGATTAACTTTAGTTGGACATTTTTATATATTGAAATAATGAATAATGAAAGCAAAAGCTACCTTTCAATTTGTCATATATTGAAAGTATTGATATTGTTTTACCATATGATTCTATATAATTTGAAAAACAACATTCAAGACTGACTAGATTATATAATGGTAGTCTGTAGTGTTAATGCCAGTGTATATCATCAGGCCATCCTGGTATAATATGTCAAACAGGAGGTCTTTCTCAGCAATACCGTACTATTTTGTTGAGTATGTACATGCAATAATTAAAATACATTAACTACAGTACTGCATATGGGTTTCTTTCAGTGACATCCATCATAATTTATCAAACCTTACACTATTCTGAGAAGTTCTTACCTAGAAGATTGTTCTTTAAAAAAAAAAAAAAAAAAACAGCGAGAACAAAAAGAACATCAAATTAAAAGAACAATGAATTTAGTTGTTCTAGACTTACTTGAGATGTGAGATCTTGCCTTGTGTATCATCAGAGACTTGAACCTTTTCTCCTGGACCTGCTTCCTTGTAACTTGGTTCAGTGGTTAAGCCTTGGATCCATCCTGAACATAGAAACACCATCATATTCAATTAAAAATCTTCCTTTAGTTAAAAACATTTGTAATTTTACTTTAACAAGCAATATCTTAAAATTTAAAGAAAAATAAATGAATAAAATAAAAATGAATTACTAGCTCAACTAATGCCACCAATTTGAAGAACACATCATCCAGTAATAGTCCAGGGGTGTGTTTCACAAAGATCCTAAGTTGAACTTATCTCTAAGTTGGACTTAACAATTATGGAAAGCCGTTAGCATCTATGAAACTATTTTGTACAAGTTATTTTAAAAGGCATAACATGTTGATTCAAATCATTCATATTTTCTATTATCAAGATTTCATGTTCTTGATGTGGAATTAATAAAAAGTTTTTGAATATATTTTTCTTTAAGGCTACCAATGGCTCTCTATAATTTTAAGTCCAACTTAGGATCTTTGTGAAACACCCACCAGGGGTAATTAGCATAGGAATGTTTAGATTCCGTACACAGACCTCAGTTTAATGGTTAGGTAATCCAGGATATTACAATATTTCAAATGTTAAACTGAGATTGTTATGATCTGTTACTCACCAGCGTATGTACATGCTATGACTTCATCAAACCCAGATGAGTTGACTACTCCTCCTTGGATTGAACTCACACTCTCAGATAAGGTCTATTAAAGACAAAGTAACAAGTATAACTTCATCAGTCTCATATATTCATTGAATAACACCAACATTGTTTTTTTAATATGAATTTTCTGTATTGATCCAGTTTTAAACTATAATCTCTCATCAATTCATTTTCATTTACATGCAGATGTGCTTTCTGTCATGAGGATGACATTAAACAAAAGTGTAACAATTCTTCAAGTTAACCAGTATAATGTGAAACATTTCCTGTCTCATATAGATCAAAGATATATAAATAAACATACACTACATAAAAGAACCACTCTACAAAGTAGTACCTCAATTATTCATCTCAAGAACCAAATATCTAAGTTGGAAGAACATAACCATGAAAAGTATTTTCAAAATAGTACAGCAACTGTTTGTGTGGCCTGAATATTACTTTATACAATTTCATTTTATTCACATGATGTTTTTGATGGGAATGTAACGGTGAAAGATAAAAAAAATAGATGCTGCCGTAATTTCATGCCCTTTAGAAAATTATTTTCCTTGTTGCGTGAATAAGTTGAGAGTACTTACCGTACTGTATCTAAGTATAGGTTCATCAGCGTCATTATAACCATAGACTTCAACCAATCCATCGTCCCGTCCTATTAATAGATCTGAGATACCATCAGCTGTGATGTCATAGTTATCCATACACAGGACTCCACCACTACGCTTCTCGTTTGGAATCTCCCATTTATGACTGGGGGATATTCTAGAGGGATCAAAGGAAGAGATAATCATGTATGCATACTTGATGAGTACAGTGATTGATACAGAGACTGTGAATCAAGTTTAGAGTTTTGTCAGTTGACTAATTGGGATGTAGAAAGTGATGTTGCATTAACATATCAGTTTCATTGCCTCACATCAATTTTCAAATAAGATACAGCAATGATCAACTGTTCCCAATTCTCCATATATGATTAGTACAAATCTAGGCAAGTACTACCAATACAAATCAATACACTGTTAAACAGATGCAATAGACTTGTACCTTAAGAAACATTGACATTGTATACTAAAACCACTGAAATGGACATTATTTGTAAGTATTGAAATGATTATGAATAAAGCACAACTCGTAACCACAGTAAAGTTTGTTATGTGTATCAGATAACAAGTATACAGTCAAACCTGTCTATAGCGACTGCCCAAGGGAAACACAAAATGTGGTCTTTGTAGACAGGTGGTCACTAAAGCAGGTTTGACTGTATATCATTGACCAAGAGATAAAATGAAGTGACTCACCTGTTTAACTGAACCAAACCAACTTTACCATCTGACGTTCCATACAAGACATCTTCACCTTCCTCACCTGATACATACACATGAATAAACAGAAAGAATATAATAATATTGAATCATCAAAATAATACCATCAAATGATCAAATAGCTGGATACTTGTTCCTTCTAAAGATGTATACTGTTCACATGTAATCATTGAGTAGTTCCACCATTGTCATTGAGTCTGGACTCACATGAACTAGTCCCTAAACTTTCCATACAGTTGAAATAGACCGGTGTAAATCACTTATACAAATAATCATATAGGGTGGTATTCCGGTAGCGCGTACTAAGTTAGCGCATACTTAGTTAGTTCACACTTTTATGGAGTGCCTGTTGCAAACTAATTTACCCTGTACAGATTATTTTAATCCTTCAATGAAAAGTGTCCAAAAAATTAATTTTGCAATGAAATGGGAAGAAAAAGATAATATGAGTATGAACTGAATTTCAACAAAGTCTTTGGTAGATTATCTTTGTCATGAATATTGAAGGAGGAAGATGAAACCTATCATTCCATAGAAGTGTGAACTAAAATTCTTGTTTAGTCTGGACTTAGTCTCGGATTAACTTATGAGAATACCACCCATTGAAATATAAGTTCATATTATAGCAATACATCAATAGAGATATACCAATATTTAGCCTTCTTCACTACCATATATACTGTCTTAATGAATGTCTTGATGTCTACATATGATTCAAAAGACAAGCAATTGTTAATAAATTAAATGCCTTGTCTAAATGGATATGAGAACCTTGTAGAAATATAGGACAAACTGAACAGATCGAGCCTCTATAACATGTATCCTCTCTATACCTACCTCCTTCATCTGCAAAGAGACTGAGAGACTGAGGAGGACCAGCAACCTCCACCTCATACAGAAGATTAGAACCTTCAATGACTCTTAAGACACGGTCCTGGCAGGCTAGCACTGGAGTGACCTCCTTGACCCGGGTCAAGGGTAAGCACAGGATGTCATTGATGCGATCACTGCATAGGTAATAATTCTCATCCTTACAATCCAGATAGTGATTGAAGATGTAGTTACCTCCAAGGAATAGATGGCTACCACATACCCACCTAAAGACAATCAAAGAAAGAAGAAGAAAAAAATCCTTAAATAAACATGTACGCAAGTCACTGATTGATTATTCCTTAACATATCCTATTCATTTCAATAGAAATTTGTAATGAAATTTTCATGCAGTTGTATCAGTAAACATAAAATGGCATTATTATTTACAACTATATATACCAGAAAGATAAGCACAAATCTGGAAAAGCTTTTAATTCAGAACATTTTATTTTCAGTTCATCTCTTCAAAAGATTAGCAAGGCAAAAGATTACAGCATTCTACACTAATGGATTTAACAATGAAAGAGAGTATGTATTCTATACCTTCTTCTTATTTATATGAAATAGGGTATTTATTGGTAAGTATCTTATAGACAGACAATGTGTCATGTAACATTCAACAATTTGTGCAGTATAACAGGTTTTTGTGCATGGTATAACAGTAAATTGAACTGTGCCCCTCTCTTCCATGTGCATATCCATTATTTGCAAAGGATGCAACCATCATTGTTGGTCAAACAGTTTTTGAGCGTCAAGTAACGCCTGGCTGGAATGTTCCCCAGGGAGTGGAGATTGTGCACACATTGTGTGCGGGCAAGTTTTAAATCCAATGACCGGGATAATAACTGTAAAGCGCTTAGAGACATCATAGATGTATTACTGGTAATTAAGCGCTATATAAAAGCGGAATATTATTATTATTAACCTGAATGATATTGAGATGGTGCGACTCCAAAGGATCAAGGCATGAGATAGCAACGTACTACCCTCAATTTTATATAACAAATATTGCATGCAGTGCATTATTCAGTGAAACATATATTCACCTCCAAATTCAGAATTTCTCTCATGCCATTATATTTTAACATCAGCCTCTGGCCTCGTTGGAATATAATATCACTCAGGGAAATTCTGAATTTGTTTGTTCATATATTTTGTTGTACTGAACGCCAAAGCATGCAATATTTGTATAATATTATTTTCATGTCAAATCTGATATTTTAAATCATGGTATTGACAGACAATGATAGTCATACTTACATAGTTTTGATGCTTTCTGTCAGGTTTGTATCAAAGCCCAGAAATTGTTTGCCCTTCTTTGTGAAACCTTTGATTTCTGAGCCGCATGCTGCAAAGACCTTGTCTGCAAGCGACCCTAGGGTACCACCAAGCTCTAAACGAGATATCTTAGGGCCTGGTAACGTCTTGAAAGCACTCTGTGGCAAAATCAAATTCAAAAGGTACCGTCAAAACTTTCTATTAAGGCTATATCCACAGGAAACACAAAAAGTGGCCAATGTAGACAGGTGGTCTTTCTAGACAGTTTCTACAAAAAATATTTCTTTCTAGAGGGAGGCAATATGCATGATCACTGTGCAGGTGGCCTTTATAGAGAGGTGGCCACTAAGACAGATTTGACTGTATATAAGAAAAAGTAATAGCTCTACCTGAATATGGCAAGCTAGAGGCTCTTCATCAGAATAAACACTTACAAAGAAATATTTAATATGAAGGTGAGATATAAACCTTAAGATATATATGTGGGCTGTTCAAACATACCTAGTAGACTAGACCTAAATAATATTCATAATAATATTTAGTTTTCATATAGCGCTTATCACAAATGTCTCTAAGCACTTTACAACCTAAATCAATTTGTTTAAACATGGCTAATATGACACTTTTCATTACATCTGTGTATGTGGTTATAAAAGTTATAGTAAAATGATAAAAATGTAAAAGGTAAATGTAAATGAGGTAAAAGGGTAAAGATATTTTTTTTAAATCACTGCCAACGCATATAATTTCATTGATAAAATAATCTGTTAGAGATGTCAAAAGACAAGGAATAAAGTGCCATACCACTGCTTCTCCTTTCTTGATATTAAAGCATTGAATAACACCGGTCTGGTCAGCAACAGCGACCTTCTGAGGAGCTTTGGCCTTCTTCTCTGGTAGGAGTCTCATCGTACGAGGGCATGTCACTCCAACCTGGCAAATCAAACATGTATTAAAGTGGTCATATCAATGCAACTTATGTTTGCTCAAATCAAAAATCTTAAGATGTGTAAACATGTAAATACAAGGAAAGTTTACTGATTAGTTTTAAAAAGACATGTACTGAATCCCTTTTGAGGTACTTTCATGGTATATAAAAAAACAATTATGATATGAATAACACTTTATTGTGGTACATGTCATGTAGGAATATGCTCACTTTAAAGCATCTAAACAATAAATCAAAAAGAATTGAAGAGTTAACAACAGCTAGAAGTAAATTGTATGTGTCCCATTGTACTTATCAATCATATATTCCTCTTATTTCAGTAATACAACAATAATAATTAAACAATAACATAGTCTATGTACAATACATTAGTGCTAACCTGGAGATAGTCCACTCGGTTTAAACTTAATTCCATCATCTTGAAGAATTATTCTCTAGAGATTCCTCCAAGTAAAATCATCTGAGCTGAGATCCTCTCATTCAATCCCCTCTACGAGGAAGAAAATGAAAAAGAAAGAAAGAAAACAATATTAGCATTAGGTGAAGGTAAGAGCACCCATGGAACATGGAAGCTCAGGCACAAAGGTGGGCGCTTGTTCAGAAACGTATCCAAAATTTGACCCGTAACGCCGGCGTTGAGATACCCTATACTAAAACATACCCAAAATGAAGTATGTTTATTACCTGTTTCGTGTAAATTTTCTTGTTATTTTTGCAGTATTTTTTTGGATAAACGTTGATATTAGTATACACTTTTTCAGAGGTTTCACGGCAAACCGCTGCACAATACAAGTGCATACCGATGGTGGGTTGCAGGCAGGCGCGCGCCTGTGTGAAGTTATCTACCGTACTGTCTCAGATCCTCATTACTCATTACTCAAACCTGAGAAAAAGTGTATAATATATCATTGTTTTTCCGAAAAAATACTCCAATAATAACAAGAAAATTTACACGAAACAGGTAATAAACATAACAACTTTTAGCTCGATCATGATCTTTATTTGGACATTTAATGAATATTTACTTCATTTCGAGTATGTTGTTGTTCGTTTGGTATTATAATGGCTATTAGTCAAATTTGACTATTGTTGCCAATTTCATCGCATCTCTTTCTTTTAATGTCTTGGTAAAATTATTATTTCTTTCTTTCTTTTTCCAATCTCATTTTAATATAATATTAGTCATAGTCTACAAAAAATAAAAACAAAAAATTATTTCAAATTAAACCACGATCCGCACACAGTTCCAACTCACGCTGGCCCTGTCCTTTCTATGATGCCTTCTTACCAGCCCAGCGAGTTATGTTACGCCGTACGCTTCTCGGTTGATAAACTCAACCTAGGTCACTCTGGCATAGACAAGGGGGCGTCGTGTACCTGTATGTTTAGAGGGTTTATTTATTTATTAGGAGAAAGACAACTGCATAAGCAAAACACTTTTGGGCTTTATTAGTTTATATGAGTTAGTTCATGAGATTATTTATATAGCGCATGACTTTTAACTACTATAATCATTGGGGGTGACATGCTTTCGAGTAATGATATAGCAAGTTTTAATTGCTTTTTTTTTTCTTCTTTTTTTTTAAAGCGTGGCCAGCAGATTTCATGTATCCTTCTCTCTCTCTCTCTCTCCTCTCCACTTCCCTAAAGTTGTGTGTATGTATTAAGATATGTTTTTCGATTGGTCAAATAAATAATGTTAAATTGTTTCAATCATTATTTTTTTTTAAATTAAAAGAGGCCTAAATTAAATTAAAAGAGGCCTAGGTATGTTTTAGTATGGTATCTCCAAGCCGGAGTTAGGGGTCAAATTTTGGATACGTTTCTGAACAAGCGCCCGAAGGTGTTCAAAAGAGTGTAATGTAGTTTCACACACATTAACATATAGGAAATGAGATGGTAGACACTCCAGCAAAGCATAGAGAGTCAATGCTAATGCGTATTGACGGTAGACAGTTTACACCTATACTGACAAACAAGGATAGGAAGAATGAGCATTTCATACACCTACAAGGGTCAAGGCTACTCTGGATTAACCGTCTAGACAAAGAAGTCTAATATGTATAGCTATGTGAGTATGAGATTATGGTGCTTAAAGGTAATACACAGTTATGGAATATTAATTTAATGAAAACTAAATCTAGACAATCTAGGAATCAAAAGTTTTTCCCAAACAAAAAAACATTTTATTTTCAACAAGTGAACAACCATTTCAATTTTAAGTTTGAACATTAGATAAGTCTCTAAATTTAAGTGCACTGCAAGGAGCTAGTGGTTAATCAGCATTTTGACCACTCGTCTTAGCTGGTGTGTGCTAAGTAAGGCTTGGTGAAATCAATATCATATTTCATAAATAAACTTCAAAGTTCAAGTTCGACCTGCAAGTGATAAAAACTACACAAAATTCAACACATGGGGCTGCATCCAAGAGTTGGTTGATTAGGTGCACCCATTGCAGTTAGGAGTCTGCATGTTTTAAAAACGCAAATTAATAAATCATTTATTAAACAAAATTATCGAAATAATAAAGATATAATTACCAGTTACATGAAATGTTACAATTAATCACGAAGAAAGGAAATCTCCTCGTTGCTATGAACGCTTGAGACCTCCCAGTATTTCTCGAATTTGTTCGCTCGGGAATTCGTATGCTGCCCTCTAGCTCTGAGCTCTTCGTATTCACTAATTGTAATCTTTATTAAAAATATTAAAAATAATGGTAATGATAACAATTATTTTAGATAGATAGATAGAAATGGTTTTTATTAAAAAGATCATCGCAGCCAATGGCTGAATTGCGATCCATTTCACAAGGTTATATACAATACAATTGCAATTCAAATTGAAATAACACAAAATATGACATAAATCAATAATCAAACATAATATAGACATTTCATAAAAATTCATTGATCAGATTCAAATTTTTGTTTAAAAAAAAGAAAGAGATAGGGAGAGGTGTAGGAGAGGGAGAGTTGGAGTGATGACAAAGAGAGAGAAGGAGAGGAAGAAAGAGAAGGGGGACGAGAGAGAAAGACGGAAAGAGATAGAGAGGGAGAGAAAGAGAGAGAGAGAGTTGAAGAGAGGAAGAGACAGACAAAGGGTACCTTATCATTACAGATGAGGGGAGATGGCAAGAAATATTCAGTAATGCAGAAAATTGAGATAAAAACTATCAAAATTCATTCACATAGTTCAATCTTGGACTGTGAAATTCTAAAAATATTGGTATTACATTTTATTCAAAAGATTTATAAAGTAAGGAAGAGAGCTGCACTGGAAGCGTTTTGTTTTACATTGGTATTGTTTAAACTTTGATTGAGATCTTAGAGAATAAGTGCTTTGTTGTCTAAGAGGTAAACATTCTTTAAATTGTGGGTGTTTGGCAAGTGCATTTGCAAAGTCTATACATAACTGCTTACGTCTTGCTTCTAATGAACATAGATTGCACGTTTCCAATGCTGCTTCATAATTTTCATACTGACGTCCTAAAAAGAAATAAGGGGCGACTTTAAAATACCCCACCACTAAAATTAACCAAACGTTCGTAGGGTACCAAATACTTCACAAATGAAGCTAAATCTCGAGTTTTTTAAGCTAGTAACACTAAACGTAATCATAACCCATGCTTTAACCCTAACCCTAGGTCTTTGACGTTTATGTACATTAACCCTATTGGTGGGGTATTCTAAAGTTAAGCTAGAAATAAAGAGGAGAACAAGACCAACAACCAAAGTCTGGGCCCTTTCCCTAAAGGCTCTCCTATATTTTATATATTGTTATTGTATTTTATTTTTTTAAGAACAAAATGTGGGCAGGAAAAAAATCAGTCAGATTACTCAAAATGATTAAACAGATAACACCATAACGAATACTAAGAGTAGGCCTATCCGCTACCACTACACAAGAACGCTAATAATTTAGGGGAGGGGTATTATCCCATGAAGTGAAGAAATGTATGTAAACGAGAGGATCATACAGAAATGTAACATACAAACTCTATCGCAAAGGAGAAACCATGCAACTATGCCTTGACTTTTCACAAAGTGTAGTTCATAACCCACTTGTGTCAGATTGATTTCCGGGGAGGAGGAGCCACACATAATGTATGCACTACGGACAACAAATATGTTCCAACAATAAAACAAAAAGGTTCCAGAGTAGTATAATTCCATATCTCATCCGCCTTTTTAATAATCAGCTGCATTCCTTGAATATCATCGTTAAATTTTTGATCCATGTATTTCGGTATTTCATACCTTATTTTATGCATCTGATGTACTTACTTTAAAAAAAGAGCAACCCCATATTGCAGTGAAGTTCAAGCTATATATATTACATAACAAAGGCAGCAAAATTATTATTTTTGATACATCTACTTTATATTCAACTACTATTTTTTTAATATAAATATTATATGCAATATGTTCTTTCCTCTATCCTTGTATATATTAGTTGAAATTGTTTTTATTTAATCAGGTCAAGTTATGTAAGGCATATTTTATCATACATGATAAACCAAGATCAATTTTGTTGAATAGTGAACCCATTTAAAATGTATTCATGTAAAAGTATTACATTGTATACATAATAAGAATTGCTTCTCTATTGATTTTTTTAAAATTAAAATTGTCATTACTAATCGGGTCAAATTATGTCAGGCATTTTGTATTACTAATTATGGGCCAAAATCTTGCTTGCTTTTTTATTTATACTGTTTTATACTAATGTAAAAGTCGCAAAATGTAATTTTTTTTTTTTAAATAACGAAATTTTACTCATAGGATTTACGGTTCTTAAAGTTTGGAATATTGTCATTCATTTAGGCAATCAAGCTGGATTCTTGTGACATTTTAAAGGATATGTTATACAATGTTCGCTGTTATTTTTACTGCGCGTATGATTCGATTTATATGCTGTTTTATGCTAAAGTGTAAATTATGGTTATTCAGCTTCCTTTCATCTTATTTCTTTCTTTATCTTTTCTTTCCTTCCTTTTGTTTTATTATATATGGGCCGACATTTACTTTCATTTTTGCATTTGTATATAGTGTTTTGTGCCCCCTTCAAGAGTCACCCAGAGTATGTGCCCCCTGCACCTGGCTCACATTTTATTTGATTTGCAACTCACTTGATATAGGGGCAATCATATTCCTGTGTGTGTATTTTTTTTTATTGTGGGGAAGGGACATATTGTGCTTTAAGTTCATCACTTAAATACTCGCACTTCGAATGTTAGCTCAGAGAAGTATTGAGTGATCAAAATTAGATTATAATAATATTTTGGGGGTATATAGATCATAAGTGTTATTTAGTGGTGGCATTTTGATGAGGAAGAGGAGATGAATTTGACAGATGATGGAAATGAAAATAAGGAAGAGGAGATGGGTGACGGTAGGGGAGATGAGATGACGGATGGGGGAGAGGAAATGAAGGCGATATTAATGTGGGAGGGAAGACGAATGTGGCGTGAGAGGGAGGAGATGAAGGTGACGGATGAGGGAGAGGAGATGAAGGTGACGGATGAGGGAGAGTAGGTTGAAGGTGACGGATGAGGGAGAGGAGATGAAGGTGACGGATGAGGGAGAGGAGATGAAGGTGACGGATGAGGGAGAGGAGATGAAGGTGACGGATGAGGGAGAGGAGATGAAGGTGACGGATGGGGGAGAGGAGATGAAGGTGACGGATGAGGGAGAGGAGATGAAGGTGACGGATGAGGGAGAGGAGATGAAGATGACGGATGAGGGAGAGGAGATGAAGGTGACGGATGAGAGAGAGGACATGACGGGGACGGTTAAGGAATAGGAGATGGGTGACTGTAGGGGAGATGAGATGACGGATGGGGGAGAGGAAATGAAGGCGATATTAATTTTGGAGGGAAGATGAAGGTGACGGATATGTATAGGAGATGAAGGTGACGGATGAGGAAGAGGAGATGAAGGTGACGGATGAGGGAGAGGAGATGAAGGTGACGGATGAGGGAGAGGAGATGAAGGTGACGGATGAGGGAGAGGAGATGAAGGTGACGGATGAGGGAGAGGAGATGAAGGTGACGGATGAGGGAGAGGAGATGAAGGTGACGGATGAGGGGGAGGAGATGAAGGTGACGGATGAGGGAGAGGAGATGAAGGTGACGGATGAGGGAGAGGAGATGAAGGTGACGGATGAGGGAGAGGAGATGAAGGTGACGGATGAGGGGGAGGAGATGAAGGTGACGGATGAGGGAGAGGAGATGAAGGTGACGGATGAGGGAGAGGAGATGAAGGTGACGGATGAGGGAGAGGAGATGAAGGTGACGGATGAGGGGGAGGAGATGAAGGTGACGGATGAGGGAGAGGAGATGAAGGTGACGGATGAGGGAGAGGAGATGAAGGTGACGGATGAGGGGGAGGAGATGAAGGTGACGGATGAGGGAGAGGAGATGAAGGTGACGGATGAGGGAGAGGAGATGAAGGTGACGGATGAGGGAGAGGAGATGAAGGTGACGGATGAGGGGGAGGAGATGAAGGTGACGGATGAGGGAGAGGAGATGAAGGTGACGGATGAGGGGGAGGAGATGAAGGTGACGGATGAGGGAGAGGAGATGAAGGTGACGGATGAGGGGGAGGAGATGAAGGTGACGGATGAGGGAGAGGAGATGAAGGTGACGGATGAGGGAGAGGAGATGAAGGTGACGGATGAGGGACAGGAGATGAAGGTGACGGATGAGCGTGAGGAGATGACGGGGACGGTTAAGGAAGAGGAGATGGGTGACGGTAGGGGAGATGAGATGACGGATGGGGGAGAGGAAATGAAGGCGATATCAATTTTGGAGGGAAGATGAAGGTGACGGATGAGGGGGAGGAGATGAAGGTGACGGATGAGGGGGAGGAGATGAAGGTGACGGATGAGGGGAGCTAGGGGAGATGGGTTACGGCAGGGGAGAGGAGATGAAGGCGATATTAATGTGGGAGAGGAGATGAGGGGTAGGAGATGAAGGCGATGGATGAGGGGGGGGGGGGATATGAAGGTGATATTCATGTGGGAGGGAAGGTGACGGTGGGGAGAGGACTGAGATGAAGGTGGTATATGGGAATGAGGGGATGAAGGTGACGGATGGCTTAGAGGATTTGAAGGTGAAAGATTAGAAAGAGGAGATGAAGTTGACGGATGAGGGAGTGGAGATGAAGGTGACGGATGAGGGGAGGGGAGATGGGTTACGGCAGGGGAGAGGAGATGAAGGTGACGGATGAGGGGGAGGAGATGAAGGTGACGGATGAGGGAGTGGAGATGAAGGTGACGGATGAGGGGAGGGGAGATGGGTTACGGCAGGGGAGAGGAGATGAAGGTGACGGATGAGGGGGAGGAGATGAAGGTGACGGATGAGGGAGAGGAGATGAAGGTGACGGATGAGGGGGAGGAGATGAAGGTGACGGATGAGGGGGAGGAGATGAAGGTGACGGATGGGGGGAGGGGAGATGGGTTACGGCAGGGGAGAGGAGATGAAGGCGATATTAATGTGGGAGGGGAGATGATGGGTAGGAGATGAAGGCGATGGATGAGGGGGAGGATATGAAGGTTACGTTGGGGGAGAGGAGGTGACGGTGGGGAGAGGACTGAGATGAAGGTGCTATGGGAAAGAGGGGATGAAGGTGACGGATGGCTTAGAGGATTTGAAGGTGAAAG